CCAGTCATTCTCTGTTTTGAATCCTTGTTGCTCTTTCAGAAAACGGACCGTTTTGCAGAAATGGACCTGGATTCCTGTGAGGCAGAGAGGCCTCCGTTGGACACCAGAGAGAGGCCACTGGGTAAGGAGGAAGGTGGCTTTTCTCCGTTTGGTCTTGTTCTGTTGGTTTTCCAACTAATCTGTGAGTTCTTTTTTTTGGGGGGGGGGAGGACAGTTGGGAACAAGGGTCCAAAGGAAGGGAGTAGTAGTTTTGCACATCTAACATATGAAATGGGCACAAACGTCCAACTGCACTCAGCAGGTAAGGCTTTCTGAAAGGCCCATCTGTCATTAGAGATGCCCTGTTTCACCTGTGAGAGAAGCAGCCACTCCTGGCATCCTGCTTACATTTTTTCTCTTGCAGGTGACAGAAGGATGCTGGCAAAACCTCCTGATCCATCTTTTCATGGGGGCAGAAGAGAAACAGCGGCTGTGGAACCAGATCAGGTCAGGGGAGCTGCCTTGTGGGGACAGAGGCTGAGGGATGGAGCAATGTCATGGACTGGTTGGGCACAGAGGAATGGTGGGAGGAAGCAGCCAGGGAACCAGGAAAGGAAGACGTCTCAGAGCCCAAGGAGTGAAGGTGGAGGAAGGATGAGCGGTCAGATGGTGAAACCTGGGAAGAGGAGGCGTCAGAGGCTGAAGGGGTAACAGGGCTTAGTGAGCTGGGAGGCTTTGAGGCAGAATGCAGTCCAGAATTGGAGGCAGAAGAGGAAGGAGGCAAGTGGGAGAAGGGAGGTTTGAGAGGCAGAGGTGAGTCAGGAGAAGGAGGAGCCACCGGGGGCTCCCTCTCCTTCTGCCAGAAGCCACCCTCCCTGCTTGTCTCTCTGAGCCAGGAGTTGTCTGACAATGGGGGAGCAAAGGCAGGCTGCACACTGACGCGCTGTTCAATCGCTTGCCAGAAACCTCAGAGAGGAGGGGGCTTGGAAAGCTGGGGAATCGGGGGACTTCACTCTTGGCAACTGCTTTTGTGGGGGAAGACCCTGACATGGAATTCGACTCAGTATTGATCCAGAGCAGAACTCCAGTGTATAGTTAGCCGAGTGAAATTGTAAAGACGTTGCAGGATTCCCCAAAATAGACCAGAGGCAATTGTATTTCATCCGGCGGAGTTTTACTGCTATTGAAGGCAAATGAGCATAATCTGTTCACAAATCTAAAACGTTCAGGATTGGCCCTGTCCATAAGAAATCCAGTTGCAGACTTAACTGAAATTTCCCACAACTTATTATAAGTTTAAACCTTAAGACTCAGCATACTATGTACAGAACACCAGAAGGAAGAGAGATAGAAATATAGAACGAGAAAGAGAAAGCCAGGCTCCTTCTGGCCTCTTCTTATAGTCAGCATGACCTTGACAGAAGAGATGACAGAACCACTTTAACCCAGCTGTACTCAGTTTCTCTGAAGGAATAACCCAAACACCAGGAACCTTCTGCTTGTTTCTTTTACGCAGAGAAGCTTCTGGAACCCTCTTGAATTAATTAGCATTGTTGTTGTTGTTTAGTCATTTACAGTGGTGCCCCATAAGACGAATGCCTCGCAAGACGAAAAACTCGCTAGACGAAAGAGTTTTCCGTTTTTTGAGTCGTTCCGCAAGACGAATTTCCCTATGGGCTTGCTTCGCAAGACGAAACGTCTTGCGAGTTCTTGCGAGTTTGTTTCCTTTTTCTTAAAGCCGCTAAGCCGTTAATAGCCGCTAAGCCGTTAATAGCCGCTAAGCCGCTAATAGCCATGCTTCGCAAGACGAAAAAACCGCAAAACGAAGAGACTCGCGGAACGGATTAATTTCGTCTTGTGAGGCACCACTGTAGTCGTGTCCGACTCTTCGTGACCCCATGGACCAGAGCACGCCAGGCACTTCTGTCTTCCACTGCCTCCCGCAGTATGGTCAAACTCATGCTGGTAGCTTCAAGAACACTGTCCCACCATCTCGTCTTCTGTCGTCCCCTCTCCTTGTGCCTTCCATCTTTCCCAGCATCAGGGTCTTTTCCAGGGAGTCTTCTCTTCTCATGAGGTGGCCAAAGTATTGGAGCCTCAGCTTCAGGATCTGTCCTTCCAGTGAGCACTCAGGGCTGATTTCCTTAAGAATGGATAGGTTTGATCTTCTTGCAGTCCATGGGACTCTCAAGTGTCTCCTCCAGCACCAGAATTCAAAAGCATCAATTCTTCGGCGATCAGCCTTCTTTATGGTCCAGCTCTCACTTCCATACATCACGACTGGGAAAACCATGGCTTTTACTATACGGATCTTTCTTGGTGTAATGGATTTAGGGGTTGCTCGTGCGTAAGTTGCCGCCACTGCTGGCGAGGTTACCTGGTTAAACCCTTTCTGACTGAACAGCCTCCAGCATCGTGACTGTCTCAGTCGCTGGCAGAATCCGTCAGTGGGCGTTTCTTAAACCTTTTCCAGCATAAAAGTTGTTTGACGCCAAGTCTCCTCCTACTCTCCCTGCGCGGAAGTCTTCTGCGCAGGGAGGGTGTGGGCAGCGAAGTACCCGTACTCTCTCCGCTGGTCTCCGGCGAGGAGTCTTGGAGCCTCCTCTCCGATTCCCCCATCTGCCCCCCTTCTCCACTGGTGTTACGCTGATTTCCTTCCCCAGCAGATGGGCTGCCTCTCTCCCTACTGGGGCCCTCTCCTGCATCCCTCTGGAGCCTTCCCTCCGCCTCTAGCTCCGATGGCAGTCCCTGACAGTTGGCAAGGTGATGTCTCTACTTTTTAAGATGCTGTCTAGGTTTGTCATTGCTTTTCTCCCAAGAAGCAGGCGTCTTTTAATTTTGTGACTGCTGTCACCATCTGCAGTGATCATGGAGCCCAAGAAAGTAAAATCTCTCGCTGCCTCCATTTCTTCCCCTCTATTTGCCATGAGTTTATGGGACCAGTGGCCATGATCTTCGTTTTTTGATGTTGAGCTTCAAACCATATTTTGCGCTCTCCTCTTTCACCCTCATTGAAAGGTTCTTTAATTCCTCCTCACCTTCTGCCATCAATGTTGTGTCATCTGCATATCTGAGGTTGTTGATATTTCTTCCAGCAATCTTAATTCCGGCTAGGGATTCATCCAGTCCAGCCTTTCGCATGATGAATTCTGCATATAAGTTAAATAAGCAGGGAGACAATATACAGCCTTGTCATACTCCTTTATAGGAAATATCAATATCAGATCCATACTTTCTGCACTAAGAAATGCAAAGTGACAGGCCCTCCGGGAATGAGCTGCTCTTCTCATTGGGCCTGAAACTCAGCCAAGTCTGTGAATGTCGTGTTCTTGCTGATAAAGAGTTAACTCCAGCTGTGAACTATGGGATTTCCTGCCCAGATAACTCTGTGACACCAGCCTTCTGAATGTCACCTGTAGGATTCATCTGTAGTTGCAGTTTTCATGGAATCCTAGAGTTGAAAGGGACCCCAAGAGTCATCAAGTCCAACTCCTGCAGTGCAGGAGTCTCAGCTAGATCATCCAAGACAGATGGCCATCCTAACTAGGCTTATTGTATTTCTAGATTGATCACTGAGTGCTAAAATAGGCTTCTAAGCAGTGGATAGATGAGAACAAATAGAGGCCAGGATTCTCCTGGCCAGCCCCATCTGATGCGAAATATAGCCTGCCCCCCACTCCTCCCCCTCTCCATGCCCCTGTGAACCCCTTGAATTTGGCTCTAGGGCACTGGGAGGGAACCTCCCCAGAACAGCACACGAGGAGAGGAGAAAGTGGATCCTTCCATCGGGGAAACTGGAATGCTTGCGTAGGCAGAATAACGTAAACATAAGCTGGAGTACCGACTTCCGGGGAGGCGCCTCCGGCAATGGCTGGATTCCTCTGATCGGGAGGAATCAGCTCCGTGGAAATCTGGGTCTGGCCGCCACGGCGAAGGCGGAGACCCGTTAAAAATCACAGGCGGGAGAAGCCTGTGAGCATGGGATTTGGCGGGCACCCTTTGCGCCTCCCCCACTCGCGGGGAAATCCGGTTTCGGCGATCCGGAGCGACGTGGGGTGAGCGGCGCGGTGCTTCGAATCATCTGCTTCTTCCACGGAGCGAAGCCGCATAGCTGTTGTCGGAGAGCGCTGACTTTTTCCTGTGGACAATTTGACTCTAAAGTAACTACCCGTGAGTAGAGCTTAATTGGGAAAATTGGATTTGTTTAAAAAAAAGTCTAATTTGGCATCGAAACGGGGAAGGTTCAATACAGGAAATCCGCCTTCCCCTTTTGTAAATAGACTGAAGCAACTGAGGCTGCAAGCTGAAGTCTTGGAAAGCCTTTTGCAAAAGACTAAATTTCCATAAGTAAAAAATATAATTCCCCCCTTGGAGGCAGGAGAAGAGGGGGGAGGGAAGTTGTCAACTGAGTTTGCCTGCGGAAGAGACCAAGAGAGGTAAAACACCGCCGCTTGGACCCTGGGAACGGGCTGCTAGAAGGTCCAACGTTTTGGTGAGACGTTTATTGACAGTTCTTGGAGCGTGTTGACAGCTAGCATAAGAGAAGATACATTGTTTCTACTGTTTCCAGCAGTGAAAGTAACTGAAAATTGAAATTAGTTTTGGGTCGTTTGAACTGTGCTTTAAGAGGATATTACTTATCAATACAAATAGAAACTGTTTCCCTCTAGTGGAAGTTCTTGAAACTGGCGGCTACATAAGATCTGGGCTGGGAAATTTTCAGTTGTAAGATAAAAACCGTGAGATTGTGAGTTGACCTTGAATCTATTGAGTGTTATGGCAGATGCGAAAGACGGAATGTCGCCAGAAGAGGCCTTAGTGATTGTACTAGTGAAAATAAATGATTCGCTGGAACAGCTTCATAAGAAAATGGATGTGATAAATATGAAAGTGGATGCTGCAAATATTAAAAATGATTTAATGGTAGAAAGTCTAAATAACCTGGGACAAAAGGTGAATATTAATACAGAAACCACCCAGAAATTGATACAGGAATCTATCCTGATACGGCAAACTGCGGATGAAGTTAAGGAGAAAACCCTCGCTGCTGAAGTCAAAGTAATTCAACTGGAGAGAGAGAGAGAGTCCCATCCATACGAGGACGATTTGATGCATACGAGCTGACACTTGATACGACTGAACTTAAAGAGAAACAGATGAAATTGAGGATCAGAGCCCTACCCGAGGAAAAGGAAACCTTGATAGAGTTTCAGGAGGAGATAGGACTAACATTGGTTGAGAAAGAGAGGTATTGGGGGGTTAGTATGACCGCCAGAAATGTGAATTTGTTCAAGGGCAACTGTGAAGGACGTTGGCTTGAAGAGAGGGGGATTTGGAAATAGGGCTAAATTGGAAGTTGCTATTGTTGGGCCGAGTTGCTGTGGTGGGGACGAGGGTTGCGGTGAGGTAGGGGATGTTGCTTTTGTTTCAAACATTGCAAGTTTTGGATGGGAGGGATTGTTTCAGGAGGTGGCAGAGGGATGTTTCTACATCTGTATGGCAGGGCAGGAAGCCTCGAGTAAAATTTACGATATTAACGGATGCTAAAGAAGGAGGTGGACTTGCCCTGCCAGACCCCTAAATTTTGTTGTGAATCATCTGCTTTTTGCTGGCTGAGAGAATCGGCAGAATCCGAGACCAGGGAGAAGAGCTGGTGGAAGAAGACTGGAAGTTTAAAGACTATTTATAGAAATATTGCAAAATTAATGAATGTTAGAACAAAGTGGGAATGAAGTTATATGGCTTTAGCAGAAATGTTATAATGTTATAAGGAATTAAGTATAAATAGATTAATTGAGCATTAAAGGGAATAAAATAAGGTTAGAATGTGTTAAGATAATTATAGGATAGAAAACAGAGGAAGATGGAAAGGAATTGCTGAAATAATTAATTGATGTGGAATACAAAAAAGGGAGGTGTGAGGAAGTCGTGGAAATAAGCGAAAGAAAGATATGACATTGAAATTGTTTAAAATGGTCTTTGTTTTATTTGTCTTGCATTGTATTGTGTTGTTTTTTGTTTGTTTTTTCTTTTTGCTTCTTTGCTTTGTTTCTTTTTTGTGTGTGTAACTTTTAAACTCTTAATAAATATTTTTTTTAAAAAAAAACATAAGCTGGAGTACCACCTATTTGCAAAAAGACGAATACCCACAGTTAAAATGCAGAATAAAAGAATTCAATTAAAGCGTTAAAATAGGTACCCATAATTAAAATGTGCAGCAAAGCAATCATATTGAAATAACACAGCAGAATTAGATAAACTAACAGGAAGGATTCAAAACCGGCGAGACCAGAAATTCACGGAAGACTGGAGTAAACTGAAAAGTAATTGTGAAGAACAGACGACGTTTGTAGGGTTGCAAGAAGTTTTGTGAGGAGTATTATTAGAAGTATGGGAAAAATGGACAAGGGGAGGATGATTTGTTAAGAGATGTAAAGGCAATATAAAGTTAAGAAATGCATAAGAAGTGGTTAAAATGGTGGATCATCAGAGGTGCTGATGGAAGTCTAAAAAGATTGTATAAGTGATAAGTTTTGTGGTACATTTTATAATTTACAGTGGTACCCCGCAAGACGAACGCCTCGCAAGACGGAAAACCCGCTAGACGAAAGGGTTTTCCGTTTTGGAGGCGCTTCGCAAAACGAATTTCCCTATGGGCTTGCTTCGCAAGACGACAGCCCATAGGAAATCTCAGGGACAGCGGGGAAGCGCAGCGCGTCTTCCCCACTGTCCTCGGACCTCCTCCGAAGCCTGGCGGCGGGGCGGGGACACCTCCTCCCGCCGCCGCCGGGCCGGAAGGCTCCTCCGAAGCCGGGCGGGGAGGGAACACCTGCCGCCGCCGCCCGGCCGGGCGGTGCTCCGAAGCCGGGCGGGGAGGGAACACCTGCCGCCGCCGCCCGGCCGGAGCGGTGCTCCGAAGCCGGGCGGGGAGGGAGACCTCCCGCCGCCGCCCGGCCCGGAGCGGTGCTCCGAGCCGGGCGGGGGGAGGAACACCTCCCCCGCCGCCCGGCCCGGGCGGTGCTCCGAGCCGGGCGGGGAGGAGCACCTCCCGCCGCCGCCCGGCCCGGGCGGTGCTCCGAAGCCGGGCGGGGAGGGAACACCTCCCGCCGCCGCCCGGCTCGGGCGGTGCTCCGAGCCGGGCGGGGGAGGGAAGACCTCCCGCCGCCGCCCGGCCCGGAGCGGTGCTCCGAAGCCGGGCGGGGGAGGAACACCTCCCCCGCCGCCCGGCCCGGGCGGTGCTCCGAAGCCGGGCGGGGAGGGAGACCTCCCCGCCGCCCGGCCGGAGCGGTGCTCCGAGGCCGGGCGGGGAGAGGAACACCTCCCGCCGCCGCCCGGCCCGGGCGGTGCTCCGAAGCCGGGCGGGGGAGGGAACACCTCCCGCCGCCGCCCGGCCCGGAGCGGTGCTCCGAAGCTGGGCGGGGGAGGAAGACCTCCCGCCGCCGCCCGGCCCGGGCGGTGCTCCGAAGCCGGGCGGGGGGGAGGGAAGACCTTCTGAAGGCGGGCGGGGGGCGAAGTCTTTGCTCACCCCTGCCTGCCTGTCCCAGAGGGCTTTTGAAGGCGGGGGGAGCAAAGACTTTCGCCCCCCGCCCGCCTTCAGAAGAGGTCCAGGACCTCTTCTGAAGGCTGGCGGAGGCAAAGTCTTTGTCCCCCCTGCCTGCCTTCCCAGGGGCTTTTAAATTGCCCCGGACAGCGGAGAAGTCCTCCGCTGTCCCGGGGTGATTTTAAAATGCCGCCCGCCAGCATTTTAAGATCGCCCGGACAGCGGAGAAGTCCTCCGCTGTCCCGGGGTTAGTGACAATGCTGGGGGTGGGAAGAAAAGCCCTTGCCCCCCAGCCTTCAGAAGAGGTCCGGGGACAGACTGTCCCCGGACCTGGGTCTGAAGGCGGTTTCCCTAGGACGCATTAATTGATTTTCAATGCATTCCTATGGGAAACCGTGCATCGCAAGACGAAAAACTCGCAAGACGAAGAGACTTGCGGAACGAATTAATTTCGTCTTGCGAGGCACCACTGTATTAGTTAAAATTATATATATATATATATATAAATAACGCAGCAATTAACAGGAAGGAAACAACAGAGCATTGTGTAGCAGATCATATTTCTGCTGTCTCAGAGTAGGACATTTCAATTTTTCTTTCAGGGTCCAGTGTGCTTTGAAGATGTAACTGTTTGTTTCACGGACGAGGAGTGGGCGTTGCTGGATCCTGACCAGAGAGCTCTGCATAAGGACGTCATGGAGGAGAATCGTGGGATCGTGGCCTCTCTTGGTAAGGCTCCCTGTGGGATCGTCCTATCTGCCTGGAAATTCAAAAAATACCTCTATGTAACAAACCTCATACATTTCCACAGAGCTCAGCAGCGCCCCCTATAACGCCTGGGAACCTAACACCCTCACAAGAAATAGTAAATTACAGTTTTTTCTGTCAAAAATCTTCCTCCAGTTCTGCCTTTTTATACCATGATTCGGCTGATCTGAACTGCCCAGGCATCTTAAATGTCACCTTCAGAGTTGTTAGGAAAGATAAGTAGCTTCTGTCAGGTTTTCTGTTTTTGATTTTGCTGCTGTCAGTCTTGGGTTGACCAGAGAGACGACTGACATTGGCGATGGAGGGGATGCCATGACTGGGCCAAACAAAATCCGTCCCAGAGAAGAGACAGGCTTATTGAATCTCAGGGAGCACTAGCAGTGATAATAATAGTAATAATTTTTATTTATCCCCTGCCCATCTGACTGGGTTGCCCCATCCACTCTGGATGGCTTCCAACACATACATACACATGAAACATTAATAATAACCATCTGATCCCATATAAAAAATACATTAACTTTAAATGAACAACTTATACTAGTGGCTAAAATCGTGGAAACTTTTTAAAAGTGTGTTTCCGAGGTTTGATGGCTCATAACACCACTTTTTGGGGGGAGGAAAGATAATTTAATGAAGAATGCAGTGCAATAACTTTTATGAAGGAGTATTTATTAGAACAACAGTCATAAAAAAGAAATGTGAAACACATGGAAAAAAGAAGATATACAGAAATTTTCACCATGTCAATTAATACTGACTTTGGTAACCTTTAGCTTTAATTCCTGCCTTACAATGCCTTCCCATGGAGTGAAGCAAGTTTTTTAGTTCTGCAGCTGTGAAACAAAGATGGAATTATTATTATTATTATTAATAATAATAATAATAATAAATTTTTATTTATACCCTGGCCTCCCCAGCCAAGACCGGGCTCAGGGTGGCTAACAACCAGTAATAAAAACAAGTTGATTCATATACAATTTAAAAGATTAAGATACAACATTAAAACATTAGGATGCAGCCTCTTCACGGGAGGAGAAAGGAAAAGAAAGAGGGGGAGGGAATCAAACTGATTCTAAGCCAAAGGCCAGGTGGAACAACTCTGTCTTACAGGCCCTGCGGAAAGAAATCAGATCCTGCAGGGCCCTGGTCTCATGAGACAGAGCATTCCACCAGGCCGGAGCCAGTGCTGAAAAGGCCCTGGCTCTGGTTGAGGCTAATCTAACTTCCTTAGGGCCCAGGACCTCTAGGGTGTTGCTATATATGGACCTTAAGGTCCTCCGGGCTTTAAAGGTCAAAAGCAGCACCTTAAATCTGACCCTGTACTCCACCGGGAGCCAGTGCAGCTGGAAAAGCACTGGGTGAATATGCTCCCATGGCAGAGACCCCGTGAGGAGCCTCGCTGCAGCATTCTGCACCCGCTGGAGTTACTGGGACAGCTTCAAGGGGAGCCCTGCGTAGAGCGAATTGCAGTAGTCAAGCCTGGAGATGACCGTCGCATGGATCACTGTGGCCAGGTCAGGGCGGGAGAGGTAAGGGACCAACTGCTTGATGCGGCAAAGGTGGGAAAATGTCGCCTTGGCTGTTGTAACCTGCGCCTCCATGGAAAGGGAGGCGTCAAGGATTACACCCAAACTCTTAACAGAAGGCAATGGCAAGAGAAGGGAGTTGGTCCCTCATCCCCTCATTTCGCTTGGGCTATTCCCAGGCCATTCCAGCGGTGGAATAAGATTTCCCATTCAGAACGCTTCAGTTCAGGTTCAGGTATTTGATTTATGTGTTTGGGGGCATTGACGTTCCCATTAATGACACTGCTGCTGCTGCTGCTGCTGCTGCACCGTGAGTGTTGGGGAAGGCCGCTCCCTCCTTAGGCTAATTCCACCTGGCCTAGGGGCCCCACACTCACCTCTGCCACAGCCTTAAGGACACTGGTGCTGCTGCAGCAAATGTTAAAAATGTTTTTATATATTTTAAAGTGTTTTAAAGGTGTTTTTACTTTTACTTTGTTGTACCACCATGAACAGTGGTTTTTATTTATGTATTTTTATTTTGTTCCGTTTTATTTTGATTTGGGGTTGTATATTGAGTGGGGTGGGGACTGGTTTTGTTTGGTATAATTGTTTGTGGTTTGTTTTGTTTTTCTATTTGGTAAATGGAGGCTAGTATGAGGCTTGGGATTGCTACCGTGGAGGGGCGAGGGAGGTATGGTGGTGGGGGCAGATGTTATAGGCGAAGGGGATCGAGATACGGATATTCTCGTACTCCTTCCAATCTGCGCCCCATCCTGAGGGACGAGGGTAGGGTGAGCAAGGATTACTCACCTCCGTCACTGGTGTTGTGCAATGCCAGGTCTATAGGCAATAAAACCGCCACCCTGCGAGATTTCTTTACCTCGCAGGGGGTCGACCTGGCTTGTGTGACGGAGACCTGGGTGTGCGAAGAGGAAACTGTTACCTTACGAGAGATGGCGCCCCCAGGTTTCTCTGTCCTCTGGCTGGGACGGGACGATATGGGATTGAGGGGGCAACTCCCATCTCTTGCGGGGGTGCAATTAGTGCCAGCACCGGACTTCCGGGGTGGCGCCATCAGTAATGGCGGATTCCTTCTGACTCGGAGGGGACTGGCTCTGTGGAAATCGGGTCTGCACCGCTATGGCGAAGCGGGGACCCTTCAAAAATCACAGGCGGGTGAAGCCTGTGACCGTGGGACTCGGCGGGCACCTTTTGCGCCCCCCCAACTTGCAAAGGAGCCCGATTACGGGTTCCGGAGCGGAGCGGGGAAGTGGCGCGGTGCTGTGAGTCAACTGCTTCTTCCGTGGAGCGAAGCCGCATAGCCGTTACCGGAGAGCGCTGCCTTTTTCCTGGGACAATTTGGCTGCAAAACAACGATCTGTGAGTAGGCTAATTTCGGAAACAAAGGAACTAAGAAATAATTTGGCACCGAAGCGGAGAGGCATAAACAGGAAGTCTGCCTTCCGTTCTTTGTAAATGGAGTAAAGCAATGAACTTGTAAGTGGAAACCTCGAAAGACGTTGGAAAAGAATTACAATTCTAACATCAAATAAGCGATCCCCCCCCCCCTTGATTGCAGGGGAGGAGGGGGAAAAGGTCTGAACTGTATTTCCCTGCAAAAAGAGAGAAAAGGAAGCTAAAATCCACCGCTTAAAACCTGGGAATGGGTTGCCAGTGAACAGTAAGAATGCCGTATTGTGAAATGCGCTGCTGCTGAAAGTACTCTTTGACAGTTAACTCTGCAAGTGAGATACAAGTAAGATACAATATTTCTGGCTGGCTTCTCCTGGTTTTAAAGTAACTGAAAACAATTGAGATTGAAACTGTCGTCCTTTTTGTGAATTGGGGGGCTAAAGGAAAAAAGGTTAATTACTTTAAGACAATAATTTCTGACTGCTACTGTGTCCCCCTAGAGGAAGTTTGAAATTGTTACAATAGTAGCTGGGCCAGGGGAATTTTCCACTTCAAAACAAATTCTGATCGTGAGACTGACCTTGGGCCTTATCTAGAGTGTTATGGCAGATGGAAAGGAGAAAATAGATTTGTTACAGGAAAAAACAACGAGGTCTGGCAGATTATTTCGTAAAGACGGTGGGCTGCAGCGAAGAGCATCGACATCTGGTCCTTCTGGATTACCAACAGGAGCCTCATCGGCACAACCTAAACCCCCCTTGATTGGAACTGGTGGAAATGACTGGCAGAATCCGACACCAGGGAGAAGAGTCGGTGGAAGAAGATTGGAAGAAATTCAAAGATTATCTACAGAAATATTGCAAAATTAATGAATGTTAGAATGATGTTAGAATGAGGTTAGGTGGTTTAAGCAGCAATGCTATAAAGGTGTATGTAAAAATGGACTGATAACAGGTGAAAATCCAAAGTTATAGTATATTAAGTTAAAGGATTAAGAGAAAATAAAGAGGGAAAGAAATTGCTGAATTAACTAACTGAATTGGAATACAAAAAAGGGAGGTATGAGGAGGTCAGGGAAGTAAGGATATGAATGTAAGGCATGGAAAGATTGATGTATTTTTTAAGTGTTTTTTATTCTTTTATTCTGTATTTTGCATTTTTCTTGTATTTTTACTTTTGTCTTTTGTTTTTGTCTTTTTTTGTTTTTTCTCCTTGTCTTTATTTATGTAATTCTTCTTTTTGAAATTTTAATAAATATCATTTAAAAAAAAAAGCAATTAGTGCCAGCACCATCCGTTAAGAGTTTGGGTGTAATCTTCGATACCTCCCTCTCTATGGAGGTGCAGATTACAGCTACAGCAAAGGCGGCATTTTTTCATCTCCGCCAAGCTAAGCAGTTGGCTCCTTATCTCTCTCGCCCTGACCTAGCCACTGTGATCCACGCGACAGTCACCTCCAGACTGGATTATTGTAACTTACTCTACGTGGGGCTGCCCTTGAGACTGACCCAGAAACTCCAGCGGGTGCAGAATGCTGCGGCGAGACTCCTTATGGGGTCTTCGCTGCGAGATCACATTCATCCGGTACTATACCAGCTGCACTGGCTCCCGGTGGAGTACAGGATCAGGTTTAAGGTGCTGGTTTTAACCTTTAAAGCCCTATACGGCCTAGGACCCTCGTACCTACGGGACCGCCTCTCCTGGTATGCCCCACAGAGAAACTTACGGTCTTCAAATAAAAACATCTTGAAGGTCCCAGGCCACAGAGAAGTTAGGCTGGCCTCAACTAGAGCCAGGGCTTTCTCGGCTGCAGCTCCAATCTGGTGGAACGCTCTGTCATAAGAGACTAGGGCCCTGCGGGACCTGACATCTTTCCGCAGGGCTTGCAAGACAGAGCTGTTCCACCAGGCCTTTGGTCAGGGCGCAGCCTGACTCCCTCCTCTGGCAATCTGCACAGAATTTTGCTTAACGGTTGCCATTAATTTGATTTTAATTAATTTTTATAATGGAATGTTTTTAGAATGTGGGATTATTTGATTGTTGTTAGCTGCCCTGAGCCCGGCTTCGGCTGGGGAGGGCAGGATATAAATAAATATTATTATTATTATTATTATTATTATTATTATTATTATTATTATTCTGCCCACACCTTTTGCTGTCATACAACCCCAGATCATCACACTGTCTGGGTGTTTCACGGTCAGTGTAATGCAAGTAGGATGTAAATCTCCGATTCTCCTCCTCGCATATTTCATGCCATCACTACCAAGCAAGGAGATTGGGGTCTCATCACACCAAATAACACTGTCCCATTGTTCCACTGTCTGGTTACCATGGGTTTTAGCCCAGTTTAATCTTTTCCACCTTGGCTTGAGATATAATGTAATGGATTTAGGGGTTGCTCGTGCGTAAGTTGCCGCCACTGCTGGCGAGGTTACCTGGTTAAACCCTTTCTGACTGAACAGCCTCCAGCATCGTGACTGTCTCAGTCGCTGGCAGAATCCGTCAGTGGGCGTTTCTTGAACCTTTTCCAGCATAAAAGTTGTTTGATGCCAAGTCTCCTCCTACTCTCCCTGCGCGGAAGTCTTCTGCGCAGGGAGGGTGTGGGCAGCGGAGTACCCGTACGCTCTCCGCTGGTCTCCGGCGAGGAGTCTTGGAGCCTCCTCTCCGATTCCCCATCTGCCCCCTTCTCCACTGGTGTTACGCTGATTTCCTTCCCCAGCAGATGGGCTGCCTCTCTCCCTACTGGGGCCCTCTCCTGCATCCCTCTGGAGCCTTCCCTCCGCCTCTAGCTCCGATGGCAGTTCCCTGACATATAACAATGGCTTTTTCCTTAGAATTCTAGCATTTAGACCAGTCCTTGCACTCAACTTCACCTTCCGTTGCCCCATGTCATCTTGTAAACACCCAGATGATTTTCTTCTGACATGTGGGCACAGACTCTTCATTCTTCGATCATCACTTGCTGTTGTGCACCTTTTCCTGCCTTTACCAGTCTGATTTTGTAGTGACTGAGTCTCCTTATGTTGTTCTTTAGTCGTTTAGTCCTGTCCGCCTCTTGGTGACCCCCTGGACCAGAGCATGCCAGGGACTCCTGTCTTCCACTGCCTCCCGCAGTTTGGTCAAACTCATGCTGGTAACTTCAACAACACTATCCAACCATCCTCTCCTCTGTCGTCCCCTTCTCCTTGTGCCCTCCATCTTTCCCAGCATCAGGGTCTTTTCCAGGGAGTCTTCTCTTCTCATGAGGTGGCCAAAGTATTGGAGCCTCAGCTTCAGGATTTGTCCTCCCAGTGAGCACTCAAGGCCGATTTCCTTCAGAATGGATAGGTTTGATCTTCTTGCAGTGTATGGGAGTCTCCTTATACCTCTTCACAAATATAGAAAGGCCAGCTTTGGTTAAGTTTTCCTCAATCTTTCTTCTTCTTTTTTCTTTTTAAAAAATGAATATTTATTGAATTTTATAACAAATAAAAATATATCAATCATCATGTTATATACAAATGTTCTCCCTCCCATCCTCTGGACTTCCCTCAACTCCCCCTCTACTGAGTTATTTGGTTTTATTTATTGCGTCCTGCTTTATATAAAAGTAAATTCCCTTACCATTTCTCTAATTTGTCTGTTACTATAATAAAGTTTATTCAGACCCTGCCAGTTGTTGTTTCTGAAAATAACCTGTAAATGGTTCCCAAACTTTTAAAATCCTTTTTGTCCTTCTCTTGTAGTTTATTTGTTAGCTTAGCCAATTCTGCATAATTCATCAATTTTTCTTACCAGTGTTCTTTTGATGGTATTTCTTCCATCTTCCAATTTTGTGCAGTCAAGATTCTTGCCGCTGTTGTTGTTGTTGTTGTTGTTTAGTCGTTTAGTCGTGTCCGCCTCTTCGTGACCCCCTGGACCAGAGCACGCCAGGCACTCCTGTCTTCCACTGCCTCCCGCAGTTTGGTCAAACTCATGCTGGTAGCTTCGAGAACACTGTCCCACCATCTCGTCCTCTGTCGTCCCCTTCTCCTTGTGCCCTCCATCTTTCCCAACATCAGGGTCTTTTCCAGGGAGTCTTCTCTTCTCATGAGGTGGCCAAAGTCTTGGAGCCTCAGTTTCAGGATCTGTCCTTCCAGTGAGCACTCAGGGCTGATTTCCTTCAGAATGGAGAGGTTGGATCTTCTTGCAGTCCATGGGAGTCTCCTCCAGCACCAGAATTCAAAAGCATCAATTCTTCGGCGATCAGCCTTCTTTATGGTCCAGCTCTCACTTCCATACATCACTACTGGTAAAACCAGAGCTTGAACTATACGGACCTTTGTCGGCAAGGTGATGTCTCTGCTTTTTAAGATGCTGTCTAGGTTTGTCATTGCTTTTCTCCCAAGGAGCAGGCGTCTTTTAATTTCGTGACTGCTGTCACCATCTGCAGTGATCATGGAGCCCAAAAAAGTAAAATCTCTCACTGCCTCCATTTCTTCCCCTATTTGCCAGGAGGTGATGGGCCCAGTAGCCATGATCTTCGTTTTTTTGATGTTGAGCTTCTTTTTTTTTAAAAAAAGATTTTTATTAAGGTTTCAGTAAAAAGTTAAACAGAAAAACATAAAAAAGAAATACACAGATACACAGTACATAATCCAAAAAAAGAAGAAAAACACAGAGAACAGAAAACCAAAAAAAGAAACAGAACAATTAAAAACAATATCACCTTTTCATTTCCGTTTTTAAATTTACTTATTTTCTGGACCTCCTCATACCTCCCTCTTTTGTATTCCAGTCCAAATTGTTTGTCCAGCAGTTTCTTTTCCACCTTTTTAATCCCAATCTTTAATCTTAATGAAATATAGCATTAAAATTTTACCTCTTAAGTACCATATTTCCATTTCCTTAAACTTCTTTAATCCTAATCTTTAATCTTAGTCTATCTATAACTTTATCCTGTACAGCTGGAAACCACTTATTTTCAATCCAACATCACTCTAACATTCTTTAATTTTGTAATGTTTCTGTAGATAATCTTTGAATTTCTTCCAATCTTCCTCTACCGACTCTTCTCCCTGGTCACGGATTCTGCCAGTCATTTCCGCCAGTTCCATATAGTCCATCAATTTCATCTGCCATTCCTCCAGCGTGGGAAGTTCTTGTGTCTTCCAATACTTTGCGATGAGTATTCTTGCTGCTGTTGTTGCATACATAAAGAAAGTTCTATCCTTTTTTAACACCATTTGGCCGACTATGCCCAGGAGAAAGGCCTCTGGTTTCTTAGGGAAGGTATATTTGAATACCTTTTTTAATTCATTATATATCATTTCCCAGAAAGCCTTAATCTTTGGGCACGTCCACCAAAGGTGAAAAAATGTACCTTCAGTTTCTTTACATTTCCAACATTTATTATCGGGCAAGTGATAAATTTTTGCAAGCTTGACTGGGGTTATGTACCACCTGTATATCATTTTCATAATATTCTCTCTTAAGGCATTACATGCCGTAAATTTCATACCTGTGGTCCACAACTGTTCCCAGTCAGCAAACATAATGTTATGTCCAACGTCTCGTGCCCATTTAATCATAGCCGATTTTACCGTTTCATCCTGAGTGTTCCATTTCAGCAGCAAGTTATACATACTTGACAAATTCTTAGTTTTGGGTTCTAACAGTTCAGTTTCTAATTTTGATCTTTCCACCTGGAAGCCAATTTTCTTGTCCAATTTAAATGCCTCCATTATCTGAAAATAATGAAGCCAGTCTCGCACTTTTTTTTTAGTTTTTCAAAACTCTGCAATTTCAGTCTATCTCCATCTTGTTGTAAAATTTCCCAATATTTCGGCCATTTGACCTCCATATTGAGCTTTTTCAAGGCTTTCGCTTCCATTGGTGACAGCCACCTTGGGGTTTTATTTTCTAACAAATCCTTATATCTTATCCAAACATTAAACAGCGCTTTCCTGACAATGTGATTTTTAAATGCTTTATGTGCTTTGACCTTATCATACCATAGATATGCATGCCATCCAAATACATTGTTAAAACCTTCTAGGTCCAAAATGTCAGTGTTTTCAAGAAGTAGCCATTCTTTCAGCCAGCAAAAAGCTGCTGATTCATAGTAAAGTTTGAGGTCTGGCAGGGCAAATCCACCTCTTTCCTTTGCATCCGTTAGTATTTTAAATTTTATTCTGGGCTTCTTGCCCTGCCAGACAAATTTAGAAATATCTTTCTGCCACCTCTTGAAACAATCCATTCTGTCCACAATTTGTAAAGTTTGAAACAAAAACAACATTCTAGGCATTGATGTTGAGCTTCAGACCATATTTTGCGCTCTCCTCTTTCACCCTCATTAAAAGAGTTGTTGTAGCATACATAAATAATGTATGCTATAAATAATGTCCCTTTTTCTTTTGGCAGCTCTTGATTTGAGATACCTAACAGAAAGGCTTCAGGATGTTTACCAAAGCTCATTTTAAACATTCTTTTCAGTTCATTATATATCATTTCCCAATATTTTTAATGCATTTGCATTCCCACCACATATGATAAAATGTTCCTTTCTTTTCTTTACATCTCCAGCATCTCTTATTTTCTTTCTTAAACATCTTTGCCATTTTCACTGATGTGATATACCATCTATACATCATTTTCATGTAATTCTCTCTTAATAATATACAATCTGCAAATTTTATATCAACTTTCCACAATATAACATAACACACTGACAAAAGTCAAGCTAAGCAAGTGGTGCTTCCTTTTTCTGGTTATTCCGCTATGACTTTTGATAGAATACAGATAATTACATTCTTCATTAAATTATCTTTCCATTGATACATAATTTTGTGGTATTACTCTAAACGAAGTCGTGTTACGAAGCATCAAACATCTGAAATATACTATTTTCCCAAAAGGCTTCCACAATTTTGGCCACTACTGTATATCAAACAAATCAACACTCAACAACCATCAGAATATATGAATAAAAATGTTGGTTAATGACAACCAACAAAGGCAATGAACAAAGACCCAACTCCCTTCAGTTCTTCTTGATTTGTTCCTGAGGTTCTAATCCCTTTTTTGTCTCCATTGCAGATTTTGATGAATTGGAAAACAAGAACAAGGATGAACATGACAAAACCCCTGGAGAGGAGAAGCCATGCAAAAATTTGGAATGTGGAGAGAGCTGCAGTCAGAACTCCCATTCCACTTCCCAACAAAGAATTCTCATTGGAAAGAAACCCTATCAGTGCATAGAATGTGGAAAGAGCTTCAGTCAGAACTCCAATCTCACTAAGCATCAGAAAATTCATACAGGGGAGAAACCCTATCAGTGCGTGGAATGTGGAAAGCGCTTTAGTCACAGCTCTGATCTCACTAATCATCACAGAATTCATACAGGGGAGAAACCCTATCAGTGCATGGAATGTGGAAAGACCTTCAGTCAGAGAGGCCATCTCACTTCCCATCAGAGAATTCATACAGGAGTGAAACCCTATCAGTGTGTGGAATGTGGAAAGAACTTCAGTCACAGCCACTGTCTCACTTCCCATCAAAGAATTCATACAGGAGAGAAACCCTATCAGTGTGTGGAATGTGGAAAGAGCTTTAGTATGAGCTACAATCTCACTAAGCACCAGAGAATTCATACAGGGGAGAAACCCTATCAGTGCGTGGAATGTGAAAAGAGCTTCAGTACGAGTTCCCATCTCACTTCCCATCAGAGAATTCATAAGACGGATAAACCCGATCGGTGTGTGGAATGTGGAAAGAGCTTCAGGCAGAAAGCTCAGCTCATATCCCATCAGAGAATTCATACAGGGAGAAACCCTATCAGTGCATGGAATGTGGAAAGAGCTTCAGTCACAGCCACAGTCTCACTTCCCATCAAAGAATTCATACAGGGGAGAAACCATATAATTGCTTTGAATGTGGAAAGAGCTTTAGTAAGAGCTGTAAGCTCACTTCCCATCAAAGAATTCATACAGGAGAGAAACCCTATCAGTGTTTTGAATGTGGAAAGAGTTTCATCCAGAGAGCACATCTGAATACCCATCAAAGAATTCATACAGGGGAGAAACAATATAAATGCTTTGAATGTGGAAAGAGCTTTAGTAAGAGCTGCACTCTCACTTCCCATCAAATAATTCATACAGGGGAGAAACCCTATCAGTGTGTGGAATGTGGAAAGAGCTTCAGTATGAGCTCCAGTCTCACTTCCCATCAAAGAATTCATACAGGGGAGAAACCCTATCAGTGTGTGGAATGTGGAAAGAGCTTCAGTCAGAGCTCCAATCTCACTAGGCATCAGAGAATTCATGCAACGGTTGGAAAAACCATTATCCAGCTTTAGGAGCCAGGCAAATCCGCACCTTGCTAACCAGGCCTTTGCCTGATTGACATCTAATGCCCTTTTAAAATGTGGTAGTGAGGGGGGTTACAGATGTATATTTTGTGTTTTTATGTTGTCTTTTTATATTGTAACCATCCTGAGACATGTGGGAACAGGAGTCGACTTTTAGAGGCTGAGGGGATTTTGCCCCCCAATGATATATTTGAGGGGGCCACACCCCCCAGTTGATAGGCATTGCCATTCCAATGACCTGCATGCATCATATGTTTGATTGTGCAAGGCAGGCCTTACCTGGCCCCTTCCTCCAATATTTTATTCAAGTTGGCACCACAGAGTCAGGTGGTATACAAATTAAATAATTACATAAATCACCTTCATTTGCACATGTTTCAGCTTGTCAATATCCTTATTTATTATCATTTTTAATATTTATGTGCCCTTCATCTGAAGATTTCACAACAGAAACATACAGGATAAAAGCATGGCTTTCTCAAAAACAAGTCAAGCCAGAGAAATCTCTCCTCCCCTTTTTATGGAGGGAGTTACAAACTTTGTTGGTCAGGGGACAGTTGTGGAAATAGTGCATCTTGATTTCAGTAAGGCTTTTGACAAAGTCCCCCGTGATCTTTCTGTGAGAAAGCTGGTAAAATGTGGGCTGAACGAGAAGACTGTTAGGTGGATTTGACTGACCAAACCCCAAGAGGACTCCTTCATGGTTCCTCATCATCCTGGGGAAAAGTGACAAGAGGGGTGTTGCAGGGTTCTGTCCTGGGCCGGTTGTTGTTCAACGTCTTTATAAATGACTTGGATGAAGGAACTGAGGGGATGCTCATCACATTTGCGGAGGACACCAAACAGGGAGCACAGGCCAATGTGGCAGAAGGCAGAATCAGATCAAGGGCAGGAATAGTACCACTTTCTTCTGCCTTGGTCAGGCCCCACCTAGAATACTGTGTTCAGTTCCTCGCCAGAGGATCCAATCCTGCAAAAATACCATGGTCTGGTTGGCAAAGATCCTACTCCCTCACCAACAGAACCAGCTACCCCTTTTCAACGTGCTGTCCTTGCCTGTTCCTTAATTCAGGATACTGTGGCATTTCCCGTTATAGTGCCGCCTGCTGGCGCTCCAGCAGGAACTCAAGCCCAACACCAACCTTTTGACTTTAAGATCTTGAAAGAGTTGCAGCAGTCAGTAAAGACCAATGGACTCCAAGCCCCATATACGCAGACGCTTTTGGAAGCCACATTAGCCCAGCTCTTGGTTCCAGATGACATAAAGCTTTTGGCCCATACAGTGTTACCTCCATCAGCGGGCGTATTGTTTGCCCACGAATGGGAAACTGCCCGGCGTGCATATGCTCCGGCTTTATTACAACAAATCAGAGGGAATAATCCAAATATTACCCTCGCAGACGTCCGAGACGCCATGATGGGGCGTGGTCCCTTTGTTCAGGCTTCAGTGCAAGCCACACTGCTGCAAATCATATTGAGGGATACCGCTCTTGCTACTAAACAAGCAATGAGAAAAATCCCAGAACCCAGTATTCAATCAAGGTGGGGTTCAATCAGGCAAGAGGCAAGAGAATCATATTCTTCCTTTATGGACAGGCTGCTTACAGCAGTGAGTCGCCAAATTGAAAATCCTGAAGCCAAACAAATAATTATCAAACAATTGGCCTTTGAAAATGCCAATGAGGATTGTAAGGTTGCATTACGACCGATAATACACAATCCTACACAGCAGCCATGCTTCGCATTTGTCAATCTGTGGGTACAGCCTCCCACAAGGCTCATCTGCTGGCAGCGGCACTAAATAAAAACCAGCCTGTAGCCACCGATAAAACATGTTTCCAGTGTGGCAAACCAGGACACTTTAAGGCGCAATGTAGATCCACGCAACAGCCTAGGCGTCCTTCTACCAAATGTCCAATCTGCAAAAAAGGCTTTCATTGGGCAAATCAATGCAGATCGCTTCCCCAAAACCAACAGCAGGGTCAGTACACTGCCCGAAATCAGCAAGGATAACAGCAGGGAAACTGGCAGCCGGGCCCACCTTGGGCCCAGACAAATCAATAGGGGACCCCCCGGAGTCCAGGGAAACAGCACCACAGCTTCGCCTGACTCAGGACGTGGAATTCCATTTGCCTTTCTGCCCTTTAAAGACTCATGTCCTCACTGAAGCAGGGTTAGACAATCATGCCACTTGTCTGGTATTGCCTCTATTATCTGCACAAGCAGCAGGAATTCATGCGGTACCGATGCTAACACACGGACCATATGTGAATTTCCCTGAGATCACGCTATATGCGGATCGTCCATGCAGAATACAGTCAAATACTTCAGTGGCGAAGATTATCATTTTCCCCCCATCCGAACAACTACCCCTAATTGCAGCAGCCATGAACATTACAGCCTCGCACCCTTCTGTGTCTCTGACAGTGGGAGGTCGACTCATTGAGGGAGTTCTGGACACAGGGGCGGATGTAACAGTCGTGGCAAAATCTGCTTGGCCATCCAGTTGGCCCACCTGTCCAGCCACACAAGTTATTGGTGTGGGAGGTGAATCACAGGCACGGCGCAGTCTCCACCCAATACTCATCCAAAGCGATAGCAGGGTTCAGATCACCTTCTATCTGTTAATAATGGACATTCCAGTCTCCTTATGGGGGCGCGATATTTTGGCTATTGCAGACACCAAATTGGAGTCAAATTTATTCTAAGGGCTGCCCCTGCACTTCCACGCACGGCACTGCCGTTACGATGGACCACCACTACCCCAGTATGGGTAGAACAGTGGCCCCTACCAAAAGAAAAATTAGCAGCAGCGGCCCAGCTTATTTCTGAACAATTGACCCTTGGCCACATTGAACCGTCCTCATCTCCCTGGAACTCCCCAATTTTCATTATAAAAAAAAAATCAGGAAAATGGCGTCTTCTGCAGGATATGAGAAAAATTAATCAACAAATACAGCCAATGGGAACTTTACAACCTGGCATGCCAAATTCAAATATGCTCCCGCGAGAATATCAGAAAAATCCTTCTTGACTGCGTCTGCATTGTTTCAAATATAAGTTCACTTACCCATGTTACGGAAATGACGGGGGCGGGCATCTTTATAGTTATTGCAATGTTACAAATATTAGCCCTGAATGTATGCTTTTGACTTGACAGCACAGGGAAGATACCTAGCTTTATAAATTCCTAGAAAATCCATACTTTAACCGACTCTCCTCATTCCAATGCCATTTTAACCCTGCAAGAAGGGTGAATTTGGGCTCCACCTCCCTCCATGAACCAAGAAGCAGGAAGTCACGTAGGCAGTAGGAAGAGGGCATCTTTCCCCAAGCCGGAGAGCACATACATGGCCCCCCACCCAGGGAGTGACGGGGGGGGGGGGCAACAATAGACATCCACAGAGGCAATTTAGCAAGTCAGGTGTTCTGAAAGCCCATCTCCGGACAAGTCCTGAGGGCAAGGAGATGCCAAGGGTTTCCTTGTTCTTTGGGTGATGGGGACTTAAGAGGTGTTGGGAGCGGTGTCTGGCCCCTGCTGAACTTGTGTATATCTTATATCCCCTCCTTTGTGATGTAGTGTGGGCCTATTCATGATGCCCTGTGAAATGTACTCTGGGTAAAAGTCAAGGTAACCCTTTGTTCTGGGTTCTTGCTCCTGTGGGGACCTGTTGGGCAACAAGAAAGATCAAGGTCTACTGACCGCTGTTTTGCTCCAAACTACTTGGCTGGAACTTCCCGACTGGCTGGGCTGATGAGTCGTCTCTCAACCCGGAATAATAATAATAATAATAATAATAATAATAATAATAATTTATTATTTATACCCCGCCCATCTGGCTGGGTTTCCCCAGCCACTCTGGGTGGCTTCCAACTGAATATTAAAAACAGTACAGCATCAAATTTTCCATAACACCCATAAAAGTGTATCATATTTATCGCTGAGAAATTGTACCATACACAGCTTGCGGATCTCAACCCCAAGAAACCCTACACAGAGTAGCTGCCTTTCCCCCAATTTCTTAGCTAGCAATAACGCATATTGAGAAGGAAGAAGAGAGAGAGAGGTAGGCATCCTTTCGGCGATGCTGCCCCGCTCCAGTTTGCCTCTGTCGGCCCCCGATGCCCCTTTCCTGTGGCCCCTGAATGGCTCTCTCCTCATCCGTCTGTCTCGGGAGACAATGGAGGACGGCTCAAGCGGTGGGGAGATTGCAAGGCCTGCTGGGGCAGCTGGCTGCTGTGACGGACAGCAGAGCCAGAGCAGAGTCTGGGGGTGCAGTGCCTCACCATTCCACCAGAGGGCCAGAGCCTCTTTCTGATTGGCTACCCAGAGGGGGGTGGCGCCAGCACTTTTGGAGGGAAAATAAAGAGCCGTTTCTGAGGGGATTTGAGATGGGAGAGAGGGAAGGTTGAGAGAAGATGGGGACGAGGAGAGGGTGGAGGGAGGGAGGGAGAAGTGGCTCTGATCTGAGTGGATCATCCGCTCTGAGGAGAATATCTATGGAGCCAGAGGAAGGAGCCTCACAGCTGAGAAGGGGAGACCATGTTGAGGGTCTGGAGAGAGTATTCAGATGGGAGTGAAGCTGGAGGGAGAAGCTGTGAGAAGACTTCTTCTGGGGTCTCCCCTTCCAGTCAGGAGGAGAGAGATCTTGTAGGAAAAGGAGATTCCCGAGTCTGTGGCAAGGGCTGAGAGGATCCCCTGGGTCTGGCATACAAAGGAAAATACCTCAGGAGTGGGATTGCTAAGAGAGAGGGGAAGCGAGGAAAAGTGGCCCCTCGCTGTGAAGGAAGCTGGGCTGTGTCAAAAGTACCTCACGGAAAGACCTCTCATAACTAAGTGAGGGGATGAGAGAGAAGCCACAGAAAAAGACTTAAACCTTATACTGTAGTATTCACAGTGGTACCTCGGGTTAAATACTTAATTCGTTCTGAGGGTCTGTTCTTAACCTGAAACTGTTCTTAACCTGAAGCACCACTTTAGCTAATGGGGCCTCCCGCTGCCGCCGGAGCATGATTTCTGTTCTCATCCGGTAGCAAAGTTCTTAACCTGAAGCACTATTTCTGGGTTAGCGGAGTCTGTAACCTGAAGCGTCTGCAACCTGAGGTACCACTGTATTCTGGATACCTAAAGTAACAACTGATTTTGAGAAGAAGGGGTTCGAGAAGGGAAGCAGCCGTTTAGCGTCAGAGCTCATTATTTTGAGTTATTTCCGTCCAAAAAGCTCGACAACTCCTGGCCATCCCCCCCTCTCAAAAGGGAGGTGTCCCCAAGCCCTGGACTCTCCCTCCCCCCCCCCCCCCCGCCTCCCAGGCCGGCTTCTCTCCGGCGGCAGGACGGCTCTCTCTCCCCACCCAGAGCGGCGGCGGCGTCTCTCCCGCTGCGCTCCAGCCTGGACTGCGCTGCTCCTCCGCTTCCTGGCCGAGGGACCGAGAGAGATGCTCAGAGCCCAGCCAAGAGCCAAAGCCCCCCCCAAAGGGACCGAGGGAGATGCTCAGAGCCCAGCCAAGAGCCAAAGCCCCCCCCAAAGGGACCGAGGGAGATGCTCAGAGCCCAGCCAAGAGCCAAAGACCCCCCCCAAGGGACTGAGGGAGATGCTCAGAGCCCAGCCAAGAGCCAAAGCCCCCCCCAAAGGGACCGAGGGAGATGCTCAGAGCCCAGCCAAGAGCCAAAGGCCCCCCCAAAAGGGACCGAGGGAGATGCTCAGAGCCCAGCCAAGAGCCAAAGGCCCCCCCCAAAAGGGACCGAGGGAGATGCTCAGAGCCCAGCCAAGAGCCAAAGACCCCCCCCCAAGGGACCGAGGGAGATGCTCAGAGCCCGGCCAAGAGCCCAAGGCCCCCCCAAAGGGACCGAGGGAGATGCTCAGAGCCCAGCCAAGAGCCCAAGGCCCCCAAAGGGACCGAGGGAGATGCTCAGAGCCCAGCCAAGAGCCAACGGCCCCCCCCAAAGGGACCGAGGGAGATGCTCAGAGCCCAGCCAAGAGCCAAAGCCCCCCCCAAAGGGACCGAGGGAGATGCTCAGAGCCCAGCCAAGAGCCAAAGCCCCCCCCCAAGGGACTGAGGGAGATGCTCAGAGCCCAGCCAAGAGCCAAAGGCCCCCCCCAAAGGGACCGAGGGAGATGCTCAGAGCCCAGCCAAGAGCCAAAGGCCCCCCCAAAAGGGACCGAGGGAGATGCTCAGAGCCCAGCCAAGAGCCAAAGGCCCCCCCCAAAAGGGACCGAGGGAGATGCTCAGAGCCCAGCCAAGAGCCAAAGACCCCCCCCAAGGGACCGAGGGAGATGCTCAGAGCCCAGCCAAGAGCCAAAGGCCCCCCCCAAAGGGACCGAGGGAGATGCTCAGAGCCCAGCCAAGAGCCAAAGGCCCCCAAAGGGTCCGAGGGAGATGCTCAGAGCCCAGCCAACAGCCAAAGCCCCCCCCCAAAGGGACCGAGGGAGATGCTCAGAGTCCAGCCAAGAGCCAAAGGACCCCCCCCAAGGGACCGAGGGAGATGCTCAGAGCCCACCCAAGAGCCAAAGCCCCCAACAAAGGGACCGAGGAGATGCTCAGAGCCCAGCCAAGAGCCAAAGGCCCCCAAAGGGACCGAGGGAGATGCTCAGAGCCCAGCCAAGAGCCAAAGGCCCCCCCAAAGGGACCGAGGGAGATGCTCAGAGCCCAGGGACCGAGGGAGATGCTCAGAGCCCAGCCAAGAGCCAAAGGCCCCCGAAAAGGGACCGAGGAGATGCTCAGAGCCCAGCCAAGAGCCAAAGCCCCCAAAGGGACCGAGGGAGATGCTCAGAGCCCAGCCAAGAGCCAAAGGCCCCCAAAGGGACCGAGGAGATGCTCAGAGCCCAGCCAAGAGCCAAAGGCCCCCAAAGGGACCGAGGGAGATGCTCAGAGCCCAGCCAAGAGCCAAAGGCCCCCAAAGGGACCGAGGGAGATGCTCAGAGCCCAGCCAAGAGCCAAAGGCCCCCAAAGGGACCGAGGAGATGCTCAGAGCCCAGCCAAGAGCCAAAGCCCCCTCCAAAGGGACCGAGGGAGATGCTCAGAGCCCAGCCAAGAGCCAAAGCCCCCCCCAAAAGGGACCGAGGGAGATGCTCAGAGCCCAGCCAAGAGCCCAAGGCCCCCCCAAAAAGGGACCGAGGGAGATGCTCAGAGCCCAGCCAAGAGCCAAAGGCCCCCCAAAAAGGGACCGAGGGAGATGCTCAGAGCCCAGCCAAGAGCCAAAGGCCCCCCCCAAAAAAGGGACCGAGGGAGATGCTCAGAGCCCAGCCGAGAGCCAAGGTCCCCCCCCCCGAAAAAAGCATCACTTGCCATAGGCGGAGCCAGGGGGACGCTGCCCCGTTAGAGCCACTTAAAACAATAAAGAGCTGAGGTTCAGAAAGGCGAGAGAGGACTGAGCTGGGCGGACTCGGCTTTGCAAGGGTTAAAGGGAACCGAGCTGCCTTCCTAGAGAGGACAGGAAGAGGGGGCGGTCCTCCCTAGCCCTGCCACCCCTCCCCAGTCCTTTCCTGCCTCGCTGTCCCTCCTGGGATCTGGTGAGTCTCCTCTCTCTCTGGGATCTGGTGAGTCTCCTCTCTCTCTGGGATCTGGTGAGTCTCCTCTCTCTCTGGGATCTGGTGAGTCTCCTCTCTCTCTGGGATCTGGTGAGTCTCCTCTCTCTCTCTGGGATCTGGTGAGTCTCCTCTCTCTCTGGGATCTGGTGAGTCTCCTCTCTCTCTGGGATCTGGTGGGGGTCCCAGGGCTGCAGCAGGGGAGGGGGCTGGGGGGACCCCAAGTCAGGGAGGAGAGGGTCCTGCCAGGGAGGGGCCAGGTCTGCCACGCTCTCCTTCCTGCAGATCAGAGGATCCCAAACTCATTTGGCCTTCCCCCCCCCTTCAGAAAAACAATGACTCTCGCATGAAATCTCATTTCTTTAAACAAAGGAGTCCCATTGCACAGCAGAGGGCACATGGTTTTCCAAAGCTGGACGAGATGGACTAGGCCCCCCCCCCCTCAAAAAAACTCACGGGGAGGGAGGAAGAAAGAAAGGAAAGGTGGGAGAGAAAGGCTAGGAATAAAGAGAGGGATCCCAGCCCATAGTCTGGCTGCTGCATTGGGGACCAGTTTCCCAGTGTCTCCCAGGGCAGCTCCCCACAGAGGCCACTGCAGCAATCCCTTCGCACCCAGAGCAGGGCATCCCAGGACCACATCCTCTCTCTCCCAAAGGGATTGTTGCTGGCAAAGCAGCCGGAAATGGGCGCTGCTACTCACTGAGCCTCCAGGGACCTGGGCATCAATGGCTGTGTGTGTGTTAAGCCATCTAAGAGAATAATAATGTCCAGATACATTCCTGGCCCTCAGAGCAAAGAAAAAGGGACCCCACCCCAGGAGTCTGTCTGGAGAGTGGCAGAGAGACCAAGTGCAAGAAAAGGAGACAGAAGCAGGGGAGTGGGGGTGGGGGGAGCAACTCCTGAGGACCCCCCGGATGAGGACCCCCACTAGAGCCAAGTATCCATTTTCCACAAGACACAAATTATTCCCTTGTCAGTCAGTTCTGACTTCTTGCATTTACTCGAAGGCAGGAGCAACTAGACTGATTCACCTCAGAGAAATCCCTTCAGTTGCCTCCACGTTTTGCATTGCAATCTTCCTTCTTTTTTTTTTTTTTAAAGATATTTATTAAAATTTCAACATGATACAAAAATGAGCGAAAAAAGAAAAAGAAAAGCAGATAAAAAAAGAAAAAAGATGTAAAAATGGAAAAATACAGAGTACAAAATAAAACCAGTTAAGCAAACAAATTAGTCTTTCTATGTCTTATCCTTCATTTACTTGTTTCCTCGACCTCCTCGCACCTCCCTTTTTTGTATTCCAGTTCACATATTCTGTTCAGCAGTTCCCTCCCCTCTTTTGAATATCCTAATCAATAATCATAAAGATATTGTACTTTTAGATTTTTACATATTACATAGTAAACCCTTTTTCATCTTCCCTTGTAGCATTTCAGCTGAGAACCACTTAGTTTTTATGGAACATCATTCTAACATTCATTAATTTTACAATATTTCTGTAGATAATCTTTGAATTTCTTCCAATCTTCTTCCACCGACTCTTCTCCCTACTCTTCTCCCTGGTCTCCCTGCAATCTTCCTTCTAGGAGGGCTAGAGTCTGCTTCCTCCTCCTCCTCTTCTCCTTCTCCTTTTTTTCCTCTTCCTCCTCCTCCTCCTCCTCCGTCTTCTTCTTCAGAAGATATCTCATGGTTTGGTACAGTCCCACACTGGTTCCTAGGAAGACTCATCCGTGCTTGCTCAAGGAACATTTCTCTTCTTCTGACCTAAAAATTCTGTAACTAAACAATGTATTTGCTTTGTAGGATTTGCTAGCACCTCATTAGCACAGGCAGAACTTGGCAGAAGACCAAAGGGTTCCTTCCAATCTCTCAGAGGCTCCCTCAGAGCACAGATGGATGAGCAAGACTCAGCTGGCCCTGAAGCAGGAAGAGGCCATGCCAACCAAACTGGGGGCAGTGGGGGATTCTGGGAAAACTCTGGGCAGAAGATCCTGGGTGAGGAGGACACCCTCCGCTCAGAGCTGCAGAGCCAGCAGTTGAGGCAGTTCTGCTGCCAGGAGGCCAAAGGACCCCGAGAGGTTTGCAGCCGACTCTACCACTTTTGCCACCAATGGCTGAAGCCAGAAAGGCACACGAAAGCTGAGATGCTGGACCTGGTGATCTTGGAGCAGTTCCTGGCTGTCCTTCCTCCAGAGATGGAGAGCTGGGTGAGGGACTGTGGAGCGGAGAGCAGTTCCCAGGCGGTGGCCCTGGCGGAAGGTTTCCTCCTGAGTCAGGCAGAGGAGAGAAAGCAGGTGAGAGAGACTTTGCTCTGGATACTCCTAAGGGGCTCCAAACAGGATGGAGAACATCCCATAATGCTCTACTGTTGGCCCATTCTTTTCCTGGGAAGGCATCCATAGAATGAGATCTAACACCCTTAAAGCTTCTGTCTTTGTCATTCTCTTTCTAACATTTCTCACCATTCATTCTCTGTTTTGTTTTGTGTTTTTTTTAAATAATTTTTATTAAAGTTTTAAACAACAAAGAAAACACACACAAAAAGCAATACAAAACTCAACAATAAAAAACACACAAAACATAACAATTAAAAACAAACTCTCTTTTCCATTTCCATTTTTAGATTACTTATTTTCTGGACTTCCTCATACCTCCCTCTTTTGTATTCCAATCCAAATTATTTGTCCAGCAGTTTCTTTTCCACTTTTTTAATCCCAATCTTTAATTTAATAAAATGTTAAAATATATAACTTCCACTTCTTTAAACCTAATCCTTGATCTTAATATCATATAACGTTAAAATTTTCCCTTTTAATATCAAATTTCCATTTCTTTAAACATCTTTAATCTTGATCTTTAATCTTAGTCTATCATTGACTTTAACCTGTGCAGCTGGAAACCACTTATTTTCAGTCCAACATCACTTTAACATTCCTTAATTTTGCAATGTTTCTGAAGATAGTCTTTGAATTTCTTCCAGTCTTCCTCCATCGACTCTTCTCCCTGGTCACGGATTCTACCAGTCATTTCCGCCAGTTCCATATAGTCCATAAGTTTCATCTGCCATTCCTCCAGTGTGGGAAGTTCTTGTGTCTTCCAATACTTTGCGATAAGTATTCTTGCTGCTGTTGTTGCATACATAAAGAAAGTTCTATCTTTTTTTACCACCATTTGGCCAACTATGCCCAGGAGAAAGGCCTCTGGTTTCTTAGGGAAGGTATACTTAAATGCCTTTTTTAATTCATTATATATCATTTCCCAGAAAGCCTTAATCTTTGGGCACGTCCACCAAAGGTGAAAGAATGTACCTTCGGTTTCTTTACATTTCCAACATTTATTATCGGGCAAATGGTAGATTTTTGCAAGCTTGACTGGGGTTATGTACCACCTGTATATCATTTTCATAATATTCTCTCTTAAGGCATTACATGCCGTAAATTTCATACCTGTGGTCCACAACTGTTCCCAGTCAGCAAACATAATATTATGTCCAATATCTTGTGCCCATTTAATCATAGCCGATTTTACCGTTTCATCCTGAGTATTCCACTTCAGCAGCAAGTTGTACATTCTTGACAAATTCTTAGTTTTGGGTTCTAACAGTTCTGTTTCTAATTTTGATCTTTCCACCTGGAAGCCAATTTTCCTGTCCAATTTAAATAACTCCATTATCTGATAATAATGAAGCCAGTCTCGCACTTTGTTTTTTAGTTTTTCAAAACTCTGCAATTTCAGTCTATCTCCGTCTTGTTCCAAAATTTCCCAATATTTCGGCCATTTGACCTCCATATTGACCTTTTTCAAGGCTTTCGCTTCCATTGGTGACAGCCACCTTGGGGTTTTGTTTTCTAACAAATCCTTATATCTTAACCAAACATTAAATAGCGCTTTCCTGACAATGTGGTTTCTAAACGCTTTATGTGCTTTGACCTTATCATACCATAAATATGCATGCCATCCAAATACATTATTGAAACCTTCCAAGTCCAAAATGTCAGTGTTTTCAAGAAGTAGCCATTCTTTCAACCAGCAAAAAGCTGCTGATTCATAGTAAAGTTTCAGGTCTGGCAGGGCAAATCCACCTCTTTCCTTTGCATCCGTTAAAATTTTAAATTTTATTCTGGGCTTCTTGCCCTGCCAGACAAATTTAGAAATATCTTTCTGCCACCTCTTGAAACAATCCATTTTGTCCACAATCTGCAAAGTTTGGAACAAAAACAACATTCTAGGCAATACATTCATTTTTATCGCAGCAATACGGCCCAGCAGTGAAAGCTTCAAATTTGACGAAGTATCTAAATCTTTTTTCACTTCAGACCAGCATTTTTCATAATTATCTTTAAATAAATTCCCATTTTTTGCTGTCATGTTAATCCCCAAATATTTAACTTTCTTAACCACTGTTAAACCTGTCTCATTCTGAAACCTCTCTCTTTCAATCGGTGTTAAATTTTTCTCTAAAACCTTGGTTTTTAACTTATTCAATTTAAATCCTGCCACTTGACCAAATTCTTGAATCAGTTCTAAAACCCTTTTAGTACTAGATTCTGGCTCCTGTAACGTCAATACTAAGTCATCTGCAAATGCTCTCAACTTGTACTGTTTAGTTCCGACCTGTATACCCTTAACCAACCGGTCCCTTCTGATCATATTCAACAAAACCTCCAGGACTGAAATAAAAAGTAGTGGGGAAATTGGGCAACCTTGTCGTGTCCCTTTTTCAATTTTAAGTTCTTCCGTCACAACATTATTTACAATTAATTTAGCCTTTTGTTCTGAATAAATTGCACTTATACCATTCTCAAAACCTTGGCCTACCCCCATACCCTGTAGATTCTTCTTCATAAAATTCCAAGAAATGTTGTCAAAGGCTTTCTCCGCGTCTACAAATATCAACACTGCTTTAGTGTTTATATTCACTTCTAATTTTTCCAAAATATCAATTATATTCCTCAAATTGTCAGACAAATGTCTTCCTGGGAGAAAGCCCGCTTGGTCTTTATGAATCTCTTCCATCAGCACTTTTTTAAATCTCTTCGCCAAAATATCTGCAAAAATTTTGTAATCCACATTTAGTAATGATATAGGGCGGTAGTTCTTAAGTTGTGTCTTTTCTGTCTCTGTTTTTGGTACAAGTGTAATATACGCTTCTTTCCACGACTCTGGTGCTCTCTTCCCCTCCATTATTTCATTGCAGACCTCTTTCAATGGTTGAATTAACCATTCTTTTAAAGATCTGTAGTATCTTGAGGTTAAACCATCTGGTCCTGGAGATTTACCCAGTTGCATATTTTGAATGGCACCTTCTATTTCCTGTTCAGTTATTTTATAGTTCAAAATTAATTTATTTTCTTGAGATATTTTTTGTAGTCCATTTGTTTTCAAAAATTGGTCTAAATCTGTTTCTTTCACTGGCCCTTGAGTATATAGTCTTTTAAAATACTTCTGGAAACAACTTCTAATCTCCGCAGGGTTCTGTATATTCCTTCCTTCCACTTCTAAATTCGTAATCGTATTTAGTTTTTGTCTCTTTTTCATTTGCCATGCCAACAATTTGCCACATTTATTGGCCGATTCAAATGTCTTTTGTCTCATTTGTTTAATTTTCCATTCTATTTCCTGATTCATTATTTTCATATATTGTACTTGATATAACTTTAACTCTCTCAGAATCTCTTGAGATTTGGGATTTACTCTCAGTCTTTTTTCACATTCATTTATTTTGTTCATAATTTTATCCTTCTTCTCATTTTGAGTTCTTTTCTTTATCGCATTCTGTTGTATTAAGAACCCTCTCATAACCGCTTTACTTGCATCCCAGATTACTCTTTTCTCCACGTTGGAACTAAGATTTATCTCGAAGTAATCTCTCAGAGTTTTTTGGGCCTTCTTAAGAAATTCTTCATCTCTAAATAAGGTGTCATTCATCTTCCATCTGAAGGAGCCAGTTGGTGTTAGTCTCATTTCCATCTTAACAGCATTGTGGTCGGAGCAAATTTTCGGGCAGATTTCCACCTTTCTTGTCTTTGGTGCCATTCCTCTAGTTATCCAAATTTGGTCAATTCTTGTCCAAGTCATTTTGGCTTCAGAAAAGAAAGTTCCCTCTTTAGCCAAGGGGTTTCTAATTCTCCAAATGTCCACTAAATCCAAGTTGTCTGTCATATCAAAAAAGGTTTTCGGTAGTCTACCATCCTTGGTGACTACCTGTCTTTGTGCCTTGTCCATATAGGTAGATACCACTCCATTCATATCTCCCATCAGAATCATGTTGTAATCCATATGGTCCATCAGGGTCTCATGCAACTTCTTAAAAAAATCAGATTTCCCGTCATTTGGTGCGTAAACTCCTACAATCAAAAATTTTTCTCCTTGTGTTTGAATTTCAATTGCCACAAATCTTCCTTGGTCATCTTTAAAAACAAATTTTGGTGATAAATTGTCTTTTGCGTAGATCACAACCCCTCTCTTTTTAACTTTATCCGACGAAATAAATTCCTGACCAAGTCTTTTATTTATCAACAATTTCCTGTGTAATCTTGTTATATGTGTTTCTTGTAAACAAATTAGATCCAATTGTTCCTTTTTTAATATATGAAATACTGACTTCCTTTTCTGAGGGGATTCAAACCCCGACAGTTCCATGTTAAAAGTTGCAGGGCCATGATGTTATTGTTTTAGTTCTCCTCCTACTGCACCTAGTGCCTGTTCCTCATCCGTCGGTGGTATCCCTTCTTTCAAACGGTCTTTTGGTTCCGGAAATAGTTCTTTTTGTAGGTCTTCTCCGTGGTCTCTGCAAAATTTGTCTTTGTCGTCTTCCGATCTTATTTTCCTCTTCTTTCCTTTGTAGCTAAAAGACAGGCCTTGAGGGAGTTCCCACCTAAAGTTGATATTGTTCCTTCTCAGCAGGATAACCAAGTCTTTGTATTTTGATCTGAGATCCAGAAGATATTTCGGAATATCTTTGAATATTTCCACCCTTGTCCGATGGATTTCCAGTGTCTTCTTGAAATGTAGGCCCAAAATCTTATCCCTCTCTTCTTTTGTTCGAAAAGTAATCAGACAGTCTCTCACCTTCTTCTCTCCTCTTCTCCCAAGTCTGAAAGCATTTACTATTCTGAAACTGTCTTTTGCCAGTTCTGGATCCCAAAAGTCCAAAAATTCCTGCGTGAGAAATTCAGCTAGATTGTCCTTTTCCACCTCAGGTACCGATCTGACCCGCAAATTCACTTGCTTTTCCTTCAAATCTATCATAGACAGGGTTAATTTATGGTCTTCCAGTTGTTTATGCAGTGTTGGTAATTCCTCTTGAACCTCTTTAACTTCAGTAGCAGAAGTTGTAGCAATTTCTTTAGCCTCCTCAGCAATCTGGCGTGTTGAGGCCGATTCCTCTAATAATTTCTGAATAGTCTCTGTGTTAGTATTTACTTTCTGGCCCAAATTATTTATACTTGCAGTATTTTGATCAATCTTGTCACATGCCTCTGCTACTTGTTGGCTTATTCGATTTAAAGATTCATTAACTTTGGCCAAAACTTGAGCAAAGGCGTCATCACTTGTCGTACTTTTTACCTTTAATTGTGCCGATGAGGCTGTTGTTGAGGTTCCAGAGGCGCCTGAGGCCGAAGATCTCCTTTGTAATCCTTCTTCTGTGCGAATAGTCCTCCCCAACCTTGTAGTCGATGCATCCGCTTTCTCTTTACCATCTGCCATTCCTTAGATAATGCTCAAGGTCAGTCACATAGTTGAAATTAAACAGTGGAAATTTCCAGCCAAGCAGTGTGAGAATTCCTCAAGCCCGCTACAGTTTCAATTATAACAAGTTGTAACAGTTCCAAATTCCACTAGGGGGACACTGTAACAGTCATAAAAGTTCTTGGATACTTTAGTTTCTTTTTTAAGCCCCTCTAGTTTATTCAGGAAGAAAACAGTCTATTCACAGTTTTTAACTTAGGACCAGGAGATATATATTCACATAATTTGTCCAAACTTTTATTTCCTGTGCAGGACTAGCTATCAAAATATATTATAAGACAGTACCTCTCTTTCTTTCCTAAGTTTCCTCTGGAGATCCTTTCCCAGGGAATTGAATGATGGTTTAATCCCTTCTTTTCCACTTCTTTATGAAGAAATCACATCCACAATTTCCCCCCTTTTTCCCTCAGTTTAAGTAGGGAAAAATCCAGGTTAGATAGTTGGATTAAAGTCCACTATACGTGCTTTTCCAATGCTTCCGCTTTCAAGTTCAATGCTTTATTTTATCTACAAGGAAAGAGGCAGACTTCCTTTTATAATTGATATTTATTAAGTTTTCAAAAAGTAACAACAAAAAATTCCAAAAAAGTTTGAAAACACAAAAAAAAAACAAAAAACAAAAATAATACAGAAATAGTAAAGAAGAAAAAAAAACCCAGCCGCAAAAAAGAAAAAAAAGAGAAACAGAAAAAACAGAAATATAAAATCCTTTACGATCTCCATTAACTTCCTTTCTAGACTTCCTCCTCCTCCCCTCTTTTGTTTCTTAATTTTTAATTTTTACAGCAAATCCTTTCTGTTTTTTCATAACAATCTGTCATTACGTTTCCTTATTCTATTTTCCCTCTTGTCATATAAAAACTTTAAAACTCATAGCTTATATTCAATATTTACCAAATTCTTGCATCATTGACCTTTTTACGAATCATTTACCAATCCTTACTTAAGCCATGTAATTTCATTCAAACATCCTTCAAACATTTGTAAGCATTCCCAGTATTAAAAAAGAAAAAAGAAAAATTAATAAGTCAAATTCAGTCCAGTCAGCTTCCAACCTCCCCTCCCCTGGACCCGGGATTGTCAGTCCTTTTAACCTCCCTTAACCTGGTTGTCTCGTATCCGAGGCCCTCAAGTCTCTTTCTTGCCCCTTTCGCCACTCTTGTTGATGATTCCTTTCCAGTCGTGGATGCTCCAGCAAGAAAATGCTTTTGACCCTTTGCAGCGAGTCCATCCCAAACCCATTGCCCAAGCCAGACAGCAAATAATACCACTTCAAATTTCCACAAAGCTTGGAGACTTTGGCTACTCCAATCCTCTGATAGCCCATCACCAGACTCGGAAGGTCCAAATAACCATATGGAGGGGGGTCAATCCATCCCCCCATTTCCAAATCTGACCGCATTTCATCTTTCCGAATCTGGTTTGTCCCAAGTTCATTTATCAAGTTCAAAGGCTGATCTTGCCCGTCCATAGGTCCCTCCATCTCTGAAGCCTCCATCACTACAGCAGGTTCATATGCTTGTATAGCCTTTAACTGAATTTCATTTGTTTGCTGCTGTGCTCTGGTAACTTCCATCCTCAAGGTCGTCTCCTGACGCATCTGGTCCAGCTGGGCACTTAGTTTTGAAAAACCTTCCAGGAACAATTGTTCAAGCCTTTGTACTAGCATTGTCCTTCAAGGTCAAAGAAAATTCTTTCCCACGAGAGTAGTCCAATAGTCCTTCTCTTTTAATCTCTCTGCGTTGCAATTTCACTAAATTCCACTAGCTGGAATTTTTATTATTTTTAAAGGAATAAAAGCAACAGCAACAATCTTTCTTTTTCCAGAAACACTTTATCCAAAATCCCCCTTCCAAATTCAAGAGGCAACAGTAGAATCAAAATGTTACCCTTCTTTTAACTAACTGTCAAACTGGATAAACTTCAGAACGTCAATTCTGACAGCCCGCTCCTGGTTCAGGGCGGTGGAAAATTGCTTTATTTTCAACTCACTTCTGCAGGATTGAAAAGTCCAAATACAACCCCCTTTTTCTCCTGCTGTCAAAGGGGGGGTTCAGAAATCTTAGATGTTGAATTCTAGTTCTCTTAAAATTTAATTTTCAGGCTTTAGTATATTTTGTCTTTGCTTTCTTCACATAACAAAAGAACGGAAGGCGACTTCCTGTTTAGACCTTCCCATTCCGGGACCCGATTAAGTTCAATTTCGAGTCCAATATTATTTGTTTATTCACCAGTCTTAAAAGTGGTTCAGCTCTTCTAAGATCAGGTACTCACGGATAGATGTTTTAGGTGCCAAATTGTCCAGGAAAAAGGCAGCGCTCTCCGGTAACGGCAGTGCGGCTTTGCTGCACGGAGGAAGCAGACGACTCACAGCACCACGCACCTCCCACTCCGGAGCCCGGTAACGGGCTCCTGGACACGGGGAGAGAGCGCTCTCGGTGCCCGCCGAGTCCCACGTCCACAGGCTTCTTCCGCCTGTGGTTTTTGCGGGTCCCCGCTGCGCCGTAGCGGCAGGACCCAAGCCTCCGTGCAGCGGGTTCCCTTCAGTCCGAAGGGAATTCCGCCATTTTCCGGAGGCGCCACCCCGGAAGTCCGAGGCAGACTTCCTTTTATACCTCTTTCCGTTTTCGGCCAAATTGCAATTTGTACAGTTCCAATTAGATTATATCCTACTGACGGATCGTTGGTTTTCAAGTCCGAATTTCAAGGAAAAAAGGCAGCGCTCTCCGGTCAACAGCTTGCGGCTTCACACCACGAACGAGCAGACAGCCCACAGCACAGCGCTCTCCCCCGCTCCGATTCCGAGCCCGTTGCCGGGCTTTTTACCGGGTTGGGGGGGCGCCGAATGTGCCCGCTGGGTCCCAGGTTCACAGGCTTCCCCCGCCTGTGATTTTTGAGGGTCCCCCGCTACGCCGAAGCGGGATCCGACCCCTCTTTTCGTGGCGCTGATTTCCTCTAGTCGAGGAAATCCGCCATCGACCGCTGGCGCCGCCTCCGGAAGTCCATTCATTCTCTGTTTTGAATCCTTGTTGCTCTTTCAGAAAAGGGATCGTTTTGCAGAAATGGACCTGGATTCCTGTGAGGCAGAGAGGCCTCCGTTGGACACCAGAGAGAGGCCACTGGGTAAGGAGGAAGGTGGCTTTTCTCCGTTTGGTCTCGTTCTGTTGGTTTTCCAACTAATCTGTGAAATCTTTTTTTTTGGGGGGGGGGGGAGGACAGTTGGGAACAAGGGTCCAAAGGAAGGGAGAAGTAGTTTTGCACAACTAACATATGAAATGGGCACAAACGTCCAACTGCACTCAGCAGGTAAGGCTTTCTGAAAGGCCCATCTGTCATTAGAGATGCCCTGTTTCACCTGTGAGAGAAGCAGCCACTCCTGGCATCCTGCTTACGTTTTTTCTCTTGCAGGAGACAGAATGATGCTGGCAAAACCTCCTGATCCATCTTTTCATGGGGGCAGAAGAGAAACAGCGGCTGTGGAACCAGATCAGGTCAGGGGAAGCTGCCTTGTGGGGACAGAGGCTGAGGGATGGAGCAATGTCATGGACTGGTTGGGCACAGAGGAATGGTGGGAGGAAGCAGCTGGGGAACCAGGAAGAGAAGATGGCTCAGAGCCCAAGGAGTGAAGGTGGAGGAAGGATGAGCGGTCAGATGGAGAAACCTGGGAAGAGGAGGCGTCAGAGGCTGAAGGGGTAACAGGGCTTAGTGAGCTGGGAGGCTTTGAGGCAGAATGCAGTCCAGAATCGGAGGCAGAAGAGGAAGGAGGCAAGTGGGAGGAGGGAGGTTGAGAGGCAGAGGTGAGTCAGGAGAAGGAGGAGCCACCGGGGGCTCCCTCTCCATCTGCCAGAAGCCACCCTCCCTGCTTGTCTCTCTGAGCCAGGAGTTGTCTGACAATGGAGGAGCAAAGGCAGGCTGCATACTGACGCACTGTTCAATCGCTTGCCAGAAACCTCAGAGAGGAGGGGGCTTGGAAAGCTGGGGAATCGGGGGACTTCACTCTTGGCAACTGCTTTTGTGGGGGAAGACCCTGACATGGAATTCGACTCAGTATTGATCCAGAGCAGAACTCCAGTGTATAGTTAGCAGAGTGAAATCTTAAAGACGTTGCAGGATTCCCCAAAATAGACCAGAGGCAATTGTATTTCATCCGGCGGAGTTTTACTGCTACTGAAGGCAAATGAGCATAATGGTCCCAAATCCAAAACATTCAGGATTGGCCCTGTCCATAAAAAATCCAGTTGCAGACTTAACTGAAATTTCCCACAACTTATAATAAGTTTAAACCTCAACACTCAGCATACTATGTACAGAACACCTGAAGGAAGAGAGAGAGAGAGAGAGAGAGAAACCCGGGCTCCTTCTGGCCTCTTCTTATAGTCAGCATGACCTTGACAGAAGAGAGAACAGAGCCACTTTAACCCAGCTGTACTTAGCTTCTCTGAAGGAATAACCCAAACACCAGGAACCTTCTGCTTGTTTCTTTTACGCAGAGAAGCTTCCAGAACCCTCTTGAATTAATTAGCATTGTTGTTGTTGTTTAGTCATTTACAGTGGTGCCCCGTAAGACGAATGCCTCGCAAGACGAAAAACTCGCTAGACGAAAGAGTTTTCCTTTTTTGAGTCATTCCGCAAGACGAATTTCCCTATGGGCTTGCTTCGCAAGACGAAACGTCTTGCGAGTTCTTGCGAGTTTGTTTCCTTTCTTTTAAAGCCGCTAAGCCGCTAATAGCCGTGCTTCGCAAGACGAAAAAACCGCAAGACGAAGAGACTCGCGGAACGGATTAATTTCGTCTTGCGAGGCTCCACTGTAGTCGTGTCCGACTCTTCCTGACCCCCTGGACCAGAGCACGCCAGGCACTTCTGTCTTCCACTGCCTCCCGCAGTATGGTCAAACTCATGCTGGTAGCTTCGAGAACACTGTCCCACCATCTCGTCCTCTGTTGTCCCCTTCTCCTTGTGCCCTCCATCTTTCCCAGCATCAGGGTCTTTTCCAGGGAGTCTTCTCTTCCCATGAGGTGGCCAAAGTATTGGAGCCTCAGCTTCAGGATCTGTCCTTCCAGTGAGCACTCAGGGCTGATTTCCTTAAGAATGGATAGGTTTGATCTTCTTGCAGTCCATGGGACTCTCAAGTGTCTCCTCCAGCACCAGAATTCAAAAGCATCAATTCTTCGGCAATCAGCCTTCTTTATGGTCCAGCTCTCACTTCCATACATCACGACTGGGAAAACCATGGCTTTTACTATACGGATCTTTCTTGGTGTAATGGATTTAGGGGTTGCTCGTGCGTAAGTTGCCGCCACTGCTGGCGAGGTTACCTGGTTAAACCCTTTCTGACTGAACAGCCTCCAGCATCGTGACTGTCTCAGTCGCTGGCAGAATCCGTCAGTGGGCGTTTCTTAAACCTTTTCCAGCATAAAAGTTGTTTGGCCTTAAGTCTCCTCCTACTCTCCCTGCGCGGAAGTCTTCTGCGCAGGGAGGGTGTGGGCAGCGAAGTACCCGTACTCTCTCCGCTGGTCTCCGGCGAGGAGTCTTGGAGCCTCCTCTTCGATTCCCCCATCAGCCCCCCTTCTCCACTGGTGTTACACTGATTTCCTTCCCCAGCAGATGGGCTGGCTCTATCCCTACTGGGGCCCTCTCCTGCATCCCTCTGGAGCCTTCCCTCCGCCTCTAGCTCCGATGACAGTTCCCTGACAGTTGGCAAGGTGATGTCTCTACTTTTTAAGATGCTGTCTAGGTTTGTCATTGCTTTTCTCCCAAGAAGCAGGCGCCTTTTAATTTTGTGACTGCTGTCACCATCTGCAGTGATCATGGAGCCCAAGAAAGTAAAATCTCTTACTGCCTCCATTTCTTCCCCTTCTATTTGCCAGGAGATGATGGGACCAGTGGCCATGATCTTCATTTTTTGATGTTGAGCTTCAAACCATATTTTGCGCTCTCCTCTTTCACCCTCATTGAAAGGTTCTTTAATTCCTCCTCACCTTCTGCCATCAATGTTGTGTCATTTGCATATCTGAGGTTGTTGATATTTCTTCCGGCAATCTTAATTCCGGCTAGGGATTCATCCAGTCCAGCCTTTCGCATGATGAATTCTGCATATAAGTTAAATAAGCAGGGAGACAATATACAGCCTTGTCATACTCCTTTATAGGAAATATCAATATCAGAGCCGTACTTTCTGCACTAAGAAATGCAAAGTGACAGACCCTCCGGGAATGAGCTGCTCTTCTCATTAGGCCTGAAACTCAGCCAAGTCTGTGAATGTCGTGTTCTTGCTGATAAAGAGTTAACTCCAGCTGTGAACTATGGTATTTCCTTCCCATATAACACTGTGACACCAGCCTTCTGAATGCCACCTGTAGGATTCATCTGTAGTTGCAGTTTTCATGGAATCCTAGAGTTGAAAGGGACCCCAAGAGTCATCAAGTCCAACCCCCTGCACTGCAGGAGTCTCAGCTAGATCATCCAAGACAGATGGCCATCCTAACTAGGCTTATTGTATTTCTAGATTGATCACTGAGTGCTAAAATAGGCTTCTAAGCGGTGGATAGATGAGAACAAATAGAGGCCAGGATTCTCCTAGCCAGCCCCATCTGATGCGAAATATAGCCTGCCCCCCACTCCTCTCCCTCTCCAAGCCCCCATGAACCCCTTGAATTTGGCTCTAGGGCACTGGGAGGGAACCTCCCCAGAACAGCACACGAGGAGAGGGGAAAGTGGATCCTTCCATCGGGGAAACTGGAATGCTTGCGTAGGCAGAATAATGTAAACATAAGCTGGAGTACCGACTTCCGGGGAGGCGCCTCTGGCAATGGCTGGATTCCTCTGATCGGGAGGAATCAGCTCCGTGGAAATCTGGGTCTGGCCGCCACGGCGAAGGCGGAGACCCGTTAAAAATCACAGGTGGGAGAAGCCTGTGAGCATGGGATTTGGCGGGCACCCTTTGCGCCTCCTCCACTCGCAGGGAAACCCGGTTTCGGGGATCTGGAGCGACGTGGGGTGAGCGGCGCGGTGCTTCGAATCATCTGCTTCTTCCACGGAGCGAAGCCGCATAGCTGTTGTCGGAGAGCGCTGACTTTTTCCTGTGGACAATTTGACTCTAAAGTAACTACCCGTGAGTAGAGCTTAATTGGGAAAATTGGATTTATTTTTTTTTTTAAAAAGTCTAATTTGGCATCGAAACGGGGAAGGTTCAATACAGGAAGTCCGCCTTCCCCTTTTGTAAATAGACTGAAGCAACTGAGGCTGCAAGCTGAAGTCTTGGAAAGTCTTTTGCAAAAGACTAAATTTCCATAAGTAAAAAATATAATCCCCCCCTTGGAGGCAGGAGAAGAGGGGGGAGGGAAGTTGTCAACTGAGTTTGCCTGCGGAAGAGACCAAGAGAGGTAAAACACCGCCGCTTGGACCTGGGAACGGGCTGCTAGAAGGTCCAACGTTTTGGTGAGACGTTTATTGACAGTTCTTGGAGCGTGTTGACAGCTAGCATAAGAGAAGATACATTGTTTCTACTGTTTCCAGCAGTGAAAGTAACTGAAAATTGAATTTAGTTTTGGGTCGTTTGAACTGTGCTTTAAGAGGATATTACTTATCAATACAAATAGAAACGGTTTCGCTCTAGTGGAAGTTCTTGAAACGGGCGGCTACATAAGATCTGGGCTGGGAAATTTTCAGTTGTAAGATAAAAACCGTGAGATTGTGAGTTGACCTTGAATCTATTGAGTGTTATGGCAGATGCGAAAGACGGAATGTCGCCAGAAGAGGCCTTAGTGATTGTACTAGTGAAAATAAATGATTTGCTGGAACAGCTTCATAAGAAAATGGATGTGATAAATATGAAAGTGGATGCTGCAAATATTAAAAATGATTTAATGGTAGAAAGTCTAAATAACCTGGGACAAAAGGTGAATATTAATACAGAAACCACCCAGAAATTGATACAGGAATCTATCCTGATACGGCAAACTGCGGATGAAGTTAAGGAGAAAACCCTCGCTGCTGAAGTCAAAGTAATTCAACTGGAGAGAGAGAGAGAGTCCCATCCATACAAGGACGATTTGATGAATACGAGCTGACACCTGATATGACTGACGTAAAGAGAAACAGATGAAATTGAGGATCAGAGCCCTACCCGAGGAAAAGGAAACCTTGATAGAGTTTCAGGAGGAGATAGGACTAACATTGGTTGAGAAAGAGAGGTATTGGGGGGTTAGTATGACCGCCAGAAATGTGAATTTGTTCAAGGGCAACTGTGAAGGACGTTGGCTTGAAGAGAAGGGGGATTTGGAAATAGGGCTAAATTGGAAGTTGCTATTGTTGGGCCGAGTTGCTGTGGTGGGGACGAGGGTTGCAGTGAGGTAGGGGATGTTGCTTTTGTTTCAAACATTGCAAGTTTTGGATGGGAGGGATTGTTTCAGGAGGTGGCAGAGGGATGTTTCTACATCTGTATGGCAGGGCAGGAAGCCTCGAGTAAAATTTACGATATTAACGGATGCTAAAGAAGGAGGTGGACTTGCCCTGCCAGACCCCTAAATTTTGTTGTGAATCGTCTGCTTTTGCTGGCTGAGAGAATCGGCAGAATCCGAGACCAGGGAGAAGAGCTGGTGGAAGAAGACTGGAAGTTTAAAGACTATTTATAGAAATATTGCAAAATTAATGAATGTTAGAACAAAGTGGGAATGAAGTTATATGGCTTTAGCAGAAATGTTATAATGTTATAAGGAATTAAGTATAAATAGATTAATTGAGCATTAAAGGGAATAAAATAAGGTTAGAATGTGTTAAGATAATTATAGGATAGAAAACAGAGGAAGATGGAAAGGAATTGCTGAAATAATTAATTGATGTGGAATACAAAAAGGGAGGTGTGAGGAAGTTGTGGAAATAAGCGAAAGAAAGATATGACATTGAAATTGTTTAAAATGGTCTTTGTTTTATTTGTCTTGCATTGTATTGTGTTGTTTTTTGTTTGTTCTTTCTTTTTGCTTCTTTGCTTTGTTTCTTTTTTGTGTGTGTAACTTTTAAACTCTTAATAAATATTTTTTTTTAAAAAAAACATAAGCTGGAGTACCACCTATTTGCAAAAAGACGAATACCCATAGTTAAAATGCAGAATAAAAGAATTCAATTAAAGCGTTAAAATAGGTACCCATAATTAAAATGTGCAGCAAAGCAATCCTATTGAAATAACACAGCAGAATTAGATAAACTAACAGGAAGGATTCAAAACCGGCGAGACCAGAAATTCACGGAAGACTGGAGTAAACTGAAAAGTAATTGTGAAGAACAGACGACGTTTGTAGGGTTGCAAGAAGTTTTGTGAGGAGTATTATTAGAAGTATGGGAAAAATGGACAAGGGGGAGAATGATTTGTTAAGAGATGTAAAGGCAATATAAAGTTAAGAAATGCATAAGAAGTGGTTAAAATGGTGGATCATCAGAGGTGCTGATGGAAGTCTAAAAAGATTGTATAAGTGATAAGTTTTGTGGTACATTTTATAATTTATTAGTTAAAATTATATATATATATATATATATATATATATATATATATATAACGCAGCAATTAACAGGAAGGAAACAACAGAGCATTGTGTAGCAGATCATATTTCTGCTGTCTCAGAGGAGGACATTTCCCTTTTTCTTTCAGGGTCCAGTGTGCTTTGAAGATGTTGCTGTTCGTTTCACGGACGAGGAGTGGGCGTTGCTGGATCCTGACCAGAGAGCTCTGCATAAGGACGTCATGGAGGAGAATCGTGGGATCGTGGCCTCTCTTGGTAAGGCTCCCTGTGGGATCGTCCTATCTGCCTGGAAATTCAAAAAATACCTCTATGTAACAAACCTCATACATTTCCACAGAGCTCAGCAGCGCCCCCTATAACGCCTGGGAACCTAACACCCTCACAAGAAATAGTAAATTACAGTTTTTTCTGTCAAAAATCTTCCTCCAGTTCTGCCTTTTTATACCATGATTCGGCTGATCTGAACTGCCCAGGCATCTTAAATGTCACCTTCAGAGTTGTTAGGAAAGATAAGTAGCTTCTGTCAGGTTTTCTGTTTTTGATTTTGCTGCTGTCAGTCTTGGGTTGACCAGAGAGACGACTGACATTGGCGATGGAGGGGATGCCATGACTGGGCCAAACAAAATCCGTCCCAGAGAAGAGACAGGCTTATTGAATCTCAGGGAGCACTAGCAGTGATAATAATAGTAATAATTTTTATTTATCCCCTGCCCATCTGACTGGGTTGCCCCATCCACTCTGGATGGCTTCCAACACATACATACACATGAAACATTAATAATAACCATCTGATCCCATATAAAAATACATTAACTTTAAATGAACAACTTATACTAGTGGCTAAAATCGTGAAACTTTTAAAAAGTGTGTTTCCGAGGTTTGATGGCTCATAACACCACTTTTTGGGGGAGGAAAGATAATTTAATGAAGAATGCAGTGCAATAACTTTTATGAAGGAGTATTTATTAGAACAACAGTCATAAAAAAGAAATGTGAAACACATGGAAAAAGAAGATATACAGAAATTTTCACCATGTCAATTAATACTGACTTTGGTAACCTTTAGCTTTAATTCCTGCCTTACAATGCCTTCCCATGGAGTGAAGCAAGTTTTTTAGTTCTGCAGCTGTGAAACAAAGATGGAATTATTATTATTATTAATAATAATAATAATAATAAATTTTTATTTATACCCTGGCCTCCCCAGCCAAGACCGGGCTCAGGGTGGCTAACAACCAGTAATAAAAACAAGTTGATTCATATACAATTTAAAAGATTAAGATACAACATTAAAACATTAGGATGCAGCCTCTTCACGGGAGGAGAAAGGAAAAAGAAAGAGGGGGAGGGAATCAAACTGATTCTAAGCCAAAGGCCAGGTGGAACAACTCTGTCTTACAGGCCCTGCGGAAAGAAATCAGATCCTGCAGGGCCCTGGTCTCATGAGACAGAGCATTCCACCAGGCCGGAGCCAGTGCTGAAAAGGCCCTGGCTCTGGTTGAGAGCTAATCTAACTTCCTTAGGGCCCAGGACCTCTAGGGTGTTGCTATATATGGACCTTAAGGTCCTCCGGGCTTTAAAGGTCAAAAGCAGCACCTTAAATCTGACCCTGTACTCCACCGGGAGCCAGTGCAGCTGGAAAAGCACTGGGTGAATATGCTCCCATGGCAGAGACCCCGTGAGGAGCCTCGCTGCAGCATTCTGCACCCGCTGGAGTTACTGGGACAGCTTCAAGGGAGCCCTGCGTGAGCGAATTGCAGTAGTCAAGCCTGGAGATGACCGTCGCATGGATCACTGTGGCCAGGTCAGGGCGGGAGAGGTAAGGGACCAACTGCTTGATGCGGCAAAGGTGGGAAAATGTCGCCTTGGCTGTTGTAACCTGCGCCTCCATGGAAAGGGAGGCGTCAAGGATTACACCCAAACTCTTAACGGAAGGCAATGGCAAGAGAAGGGAGTTGGTCCCTCATCCCCTCATTTCGCTTGGGCTATTCCCAGGCCATTCCAGCGGTGGAATAAGATTTCCCATTCAGAACGCTTCAGTTCAGGTTCAAGTATTTGATTTATGTGTTTGGGGGCATTGACGTTCCCATTAATGACACTGCTGCTGCTGCTGCTGCTGCTGCACCATGAGTGTTGGGGAAGGCCGCTCCCTCCTTAGGCTAATTCCACCTGGCCTAGGGGCCCCACACTCACCTCCGCCACAGCCTTAAGGACACTGGTGCTGCTGCAGAAAATGTTAAAAATGTTTTTATATATTTTAAAGTGTTTTAAAGGTGTTTTTACTTTTACTTTGTTGTACCACCATGAACAGTGGTTTTTATTTATGTATTTTTATTTTGTTCCGTTTTATTTTGATTTGGGGTTGTATATTGAGTGGGGTGGGGACTGGTTTTGTTTGGTATAATTGTTTGTGGTTTGTTTTGTTTTTCTATTTGGTAAATGGAGGCTAGTATGAGGCTTGGGATTGCTACCGTGGAGGGGCGAGGGAGGTATGGCAGTGGGGGCAGATGTTATAGGCGAAGGGGATCGAGATACGGATATGCTTGTACTTCCAATCTGCGCCCCATCCTGAGGGACGAGGGTAGGGTGAGCAAGGGTTACTCACCTCCGTCACTGGTGTTGTGCAATGCCAGGTCTATAGGCAATAAAACCGCCACCCTGCGAGATTTCTTTACCTCGCAGGGGGTCGACCTGGCTTGTGTGACGGAGACCTGGGTGTGCGAAGGGGAAACTGTTACCTTATGAGAGATGGCGCCCCCGGGTTTCTCTGTCCTCTGGCTGGGACGGGACAATATGGGATTGAGGGGGCAACTCCCATCTCTTTCGGGGGTGCAATTAGTGCCAGCACCGGACTTCCGGGGTGGCGCCATCAGTAATGGCGGATTCCCTCTGACTCGGAGGGGACTGGCTCTGTGGAAATCGGGTCTGCACCGCTATGGCGAAGCGGGGACCCTTCAAAAATCACAGGCGGGTGAAGCCTGTGACCGTGGGACTTGGCGGGCACCTTTTGCGCCCCCCCAACTTGCAAACGAGCCCAATTACGGGTTCCGGAGCGGAGCGGGGAAGTGGCGCGGTGCTGTGAGTCAACTGCTTCTTCCGTGGAGCGAAGCCGCATAGCCGTTACCGGAGAGCGCTGCCTTTTTCCTGGGACAATTTGGCTGCAAAACAACGATCTGTGAGTAGGCTAATTTCGGAAACAAAGGAACTAAGAAATAATTCGGCACCGAAGCGGAGAGGCATAAACAGGAAGTCTGCCTTCCGTTCTTTGTAAATGGAGTAAAGCAATGAACTTGTAAGCGGAAACCTCGAAAGACATTGGAAAAGGATTACAATTCTAACATCAAATAAGCGATTTCCCCCCCTTAATTGCAGGGGAGGAGGGGGGAAAGGTCTGAACTGTATTTCCCTGCAAAAAGAGAGAAAAGGAAGCTAAAATCCACCGCTTAAAACCTGGGAACGGGTTGCCAGTGAACAGTAAGAATGCCGTATTGTGAAATGCGCTGCTGCTGAAAGTACTCTTTGACAGTTAACTCTGCAAGTGAGATACAAGTAAGATACAATATTTCTGGCTGGCTTCTCCTGGTTTTAAAGTAACTGAAAACAATTGAGATTGAAACTGTCGTCCTTTTTGTGAATTGGGGGGCTAAAGGAAAAAAGGTTAATTACTTTAAGACAATAATTTCTGACTGCTACTGTGTCCCCCTAGAGGAAGTTTGAAATTGTTACAATAGTAGCTGGGCCAGGGGAATTTTCCACTTCAAAACAAATTCTGATCGTGAGACTGACCTTGGGCCTTATCTAGAGTGTTATGGCAGATGGAAAGGAGAAAATAGATTTGTTACAGGAAAAAACAACGAGGTCTGGCAGATTATTTCGTACAGACGGTGGGCTGCAGCGAAGAGCATCGACATCTGGTCCTTCTGGATTACCAACAGGAGCCTCATCGGCACAACCTAAACCCAAAGGAATGGCATCTGAAGATGCTTTGGCTCAGGCACTAGGTAAAATTAATGAATCTTTGGAAAGAATAAGTAAACAAGTAGCTGAAGCATCGGGCAAAATTGACCAAAATACCACAAGTATTAATAATTTGGGACAGAAGGTTAATACCAACACAGAAACTATTCAGAAATTACTACAGGAATCTACCTCGACACGAAAGACAGCTGAAGAGGCAAAGGAAATAGCAACTGCTGTAGAAGAGAAGATACCACCGATACACAAACAACTTGAAGACCACAGGTCAATATTGTCTATGACTGAGTTGAAGGAGAAGCAAACGAATTTGAGGATCAGGGCTGTACCTGAACTTGAGAAAGACAATCTGGCTGACTTTCTTATGCAGGAATTTGCAGACTTTGGGGACCTAGATTTGGAGAAGGAAGGTTTCAAGATAGTGAGTGCTTTCAGGCTTGGAAGAGGAGGGAAGAAGAACAGGGTGAGAGACTGTTTGATCACCCTCCGAACAAAAGAGGAGAGAGACAAAATCTTGAGTCTGCATTTCCAGAAGACTTTGGAAATCCATCAGTCAAAAGTGGAGATATTTAAGGACATTCCGAAATATCTTCTGGACCTTAGGTCGCCCTGTTGAGAAGCAACGGAATCATTTTTAGTTGGGAATTCCCCCAAGGCCTATCCTTTAGTTACAAAGGGAAGAAGATAAAAATAAGATCAGAGGATGACAAAGATAGATTTTGGAGAGACCATGGAGAAGACCTGCAGAAGGAAGCTGCAGAAGAGTTAAGAGCACTAGTAAGTGAAACTTTAGACATACCAAGATTACCTCCTGAACTAAAAGACCGCCTGGAGAAGGTGATACCACCGACAGATCAGGAACAGGCACTGGGTGCAGTTGGAGGAGAAGCAAAGTAACTACATCATGGCTCTGCAACTATTAAGCTGGAATTGTAATGGTCTGAACTTTCCAAATTTCCCCCTTTTCCCTCAAGTTAAGGGGGGGAAAGTCCTGGTTAGATGATTGGATTAAAATCCGTTTATGCGTCTTTTTCTAAGCTTCCGCTTTCAAGTTCAATGCTTTGTTTTATCTACAACGGAGAGAGGCAGACTTCCTTTTTATACCTCTCCGCTTTCGGCCGAATTCCCTTTAAATTTGTACAGTTCCAATTGCATAAAATCCTACTCACGGATCGTTGATTTTCAGAGCCAAATTTTCAAGAAAGAAAGGCAGTGCTCTCCGGTCACAGCTCGCGGCTTCACTCCACAGAAGAAGCAAACAGCCCACAGCACAGCGCTCCTTCCCCCGCTCCGATTCTGAGCCCGTTGCCGGGCTCTTTCACAGGTTGGGGGGGGCGCCAAACGTGCCCGCTGGGTCCCAAGTTCACAGGCTTCCCCCGCCTGTGATTTCAAGGGTCCCCCGCTATGCCGAAGCGGGATCCGACCCTGTTTTCTGCAGAGCGATTTCCTCCAAACCGAGGAAATCCGCCATTAACCGATGGCGCCACCTCCGGAAGTGTTAATTATGTTTCTCACATTATCCGACAAGTGTCTACCCGGGAGAAAGCCTGCTTAGTCTTTATGAATCTCTTCCATTAACACTTTTTTTAGTCTTTTGGCCGAAATGTCTGCAAAGATTTTATAATCCACATTAAGCAATGAGATGGGGCGGTAGTTCTTAAGTTGCGTCTTTTCAGTCTCTGTTTTCAGTACAAGTGTAATATATGCTTCTTTCCACGACTCTGGTGCCCTTTTCCCACCCATTATTTCGTTACAGACTTCCTTCAAAGGTTGTACCAACCATTCTTTTAAGGATCTGTAATATTTAGAGGTCAGTCCATCCGGTCCTGGAGATTTACCTAGTTGCATATTCTGAATGGCACCTTCTATCACCTGTTCAGTTATTTTATAATTCAACATTGATTTACTTTCCTGAGAGGTTTTTTGTAATCCATTTGTTTTCAAAAATCGATCTAAATCAATTTCTTTCTGTGGTCCTTGTGTATATAATTGTTTAAAGTACCTCTGGAAAGAATTTCTAATCTCAGCTGGATTCTGTATATTCCTTCCTTCCACTTCTAAATTTGTAACTGTATTTAATTTTTGTCTTTTTTTTCATTTGCCAAGCCAACAATTTCCCACATTTATTAGCCGACTCAAATGTTTTTTGTCTCATTTGTTTGATTTTCCATTCTATCTCCTGATTCATCATTTTCATATATTGTACTTGATATAATTTTATTTCTCTCAAAATCTCTTGCGACTTAGGTTTTGCTCTCAATTTCTTTTCACTTTCTTTTATTTTCTCCAACATTTTATCCTTCTTCTCATTTTGAATTCTCTTCTTTAATGCATTCTGTTGTCTCAAGAACCCTCTCATAACAGCTTTGCTAGCGTCCCAGATTACTCTTTTTTCCACATTGGTGTTCATATTTCTCTCAAAATAGTCTCTCAAGGTTTTTTGGGCCTTTTTATACACTTCTTCATCTCTGAATAAGGTGTCATTCATCCTCCATCTGAAGGAACCAGTTGGTGTTAGTTTCATCTCCATCTTCACAGCATTATGGTCAGAGCAGGTTTTGGGCAGATTTCCACTTTTCTTATCTTTGGTGCCATTTCTCTAGTTACCCATATTTGGTCAATTCTTGTCCATGTCAGTTTGGCTTCAGAGAAGAAGGTTCCCTCTCTGGCCAAGGGATTCTTTGTTCTCCAAATATCAACTAAGTCCAAGTTGTCTGTCATCTCAAAAAAAGTTTTCGGTAATCTGCCGTCCTTAGTGACTACCTGTCTTTGTGCCTTATCCATGTGTGTAGATACCACTCCATTCATGTCTCCCATCAAAATCACATTATAATCCAAATAGTCCATCAAGGTCTCATGCAACTTTTTAAAAAATTCAGATTTCCCCTCATTTGGTGCATAAACTCCTACTATCAAAAATTTCTCTCGTGTTTGAATTTCAATTGCCACAAATCTTCCTTGGTCATCTTTGAAGATAAATTTCGGTAATAGTCTCTCCTTTGCATAAATCACAACCCCTCTTTTTTTAACTTTGTCCGATGAAATAAACTCCTGACCAAGTCTTCTATTTATCAACAATTTCCTGTGTAATCTTGTTATATGTGTTTCTTGTAAACAAATTAAGTCCAATTGTTCCTTTTTTAATATATGAAATACTGATTTCCTTTTCTGGGGGGAATTCAAACCATGACAGTTCCAGGTTAATAGTTGCAGGGCCATGATCCTCTTCCGTCGGTGGTATCACTTTTTTCAGACGGTCTTTTATTTCCAGAGATAGTCCTGGTATTTCTAAAGCTTCTCTTGCAGTTGTTCTTAACTCTCCTGTGGCTTTCTTTTGTAGGTCTTCTCCGTGGTCTCTCCAAAATTTGTCTTTGTCGTCTTCCGATCTTATTTTCCTCTTCTTTCCTTTGTAACTAAAAGATAGGCCTTGAGGAAATTCCCACCTGAAATTAATCCTGTTACTTTTCAGCAAAGTAACCAAGTCTTCATAGTTAGATCTGAGATCCAGAAGGTGTTTCGGAATGTCCTTAAATATCTCCACTCTTGTCTGATGTATTTCCAGTGTCTTCTGGAAATGCAAACCCAGGATCTTATCCCTCTCTTCTTTTGTTCAAAGAGTGATCAAACAGTCTCTCACCTTCTTTTCTCCTCTTTTTCCAAGTCTGAAGGCGTTCACTATTTTAAAACTGTCCTTTACCAATTCTGAATTCCAAAAGTCTAAAAATTCCTGCGTAAGAAATTCAGCTAAATTGTCCTTCTCCACTTCAGGTACCGATCTGACCCGTAAATTCACTTGTTTTTCTTTCAACTCAATCATAGGGTTAACTTATGATCTTCCAATTGTTTATGTAACGGTGGTATTTTCTCTTGAACCTCTTTAACCTCTGTAACGGACGCTGTAGCAATTTCTTTAGCCTCCTCGGCAATCTGACGTGTTGAGGCCGATTCCTCTAATAATTTCTGAATAGTCTCTGTATTAGTATTTACTTTCTGGCCCAAATTATTTAAACTTGCTGTATTTTAATTAATACTTGTTGTATTTTGATTAATACTTGTTGTGTTTTGATCAATCTTGTCTGATGCCTCTGCTACTTGTCTACTTATTCTATCCAAAGATTCATTAATTTTAGCCAAAACTTGAGCAAAGGAGTCATCACTTGCCATACCTTTAGTTTTAGGTTGTGCCGATGGGGCTGCTATTGGAACCCCAGAGGGACCAGAGGTCGAAGCTCCTCTTTGCAGTCCACCGTCTGTTCTCAATACTCTGCCTGACCTTGTTGCTTGTAACGACTCTAATTTCTCTTTTCCATCTGCCATACCCCTTTAGATAAAACTCAAGGTCAGTCACGCAGTTAAGTTCAAAATTGTTTTGAAGTGGAAAATTCCAAAAGGGCCATGTGGGAAAATCCTCAGGCCAGCTGCAATTGCAATTGTAACTAGTTGTAACAAATCCAAGTTCCTCTGGGGGACACTGTAACAGTCATAAAGTTCTTAAATACTTTACTTCTTCTTTAAGTCCCCCCAGTTTATCAGGAAGAAAACAATCTATCTTAAACAGTTACTTTAAGACCAGGAGATATCTATCCACAATATTGTATCCAAATTGTATTTCCAGTGCAGGGCTAGCTGTCAAAGTATATTTAAAGACAGTACCTTTTCTCCAACTTCAAATTGTCTCTGGGAATCTGTTCCCGAGGGATTGAGCGATGATTTTTATCTTCTTTTTCTCACCTCTTCTTGAAGAAATAACTTTCCACAAATCTTCCTTGGTCATCTTTAAAAATAAAATAAATTTAAAAATAAATTTCGGTAATAGTCTGTCCTTTGCATAAATCACAACTCCTCTTTTTTTTACTTTATCCGATGAAATAAACTCCTGACCAAGTCTTTTATTTATCAATAATTTCCTGTGTAACCTTGTTATATGTGTTTCTTGTAGGCAAATCAAGTCCAATTGTTCCTTTTTAATAAATGAAACACAGATTTCCTTCTCTGGGGAGAGTTCAAACCATTACAATTCCAACTTAGTAGTTGCAGGGCCATGATGTAATTATTTTGGTTCTCCTCCAACGGCACCCAGTGCCTGTTCCTGTTCCGTCGGTGGTATCACGTTTCTCAGGCGGTCTTTTAGTTCCAGAGATAGTCCTGGTGTGTCTAAAGTTTCTATTGCCTTGGATGTTGTTTTTGTTTCAAACATTGCAGATTTTGGACAAGATGGACTGTTTCAAGAAATGGCAGAGAGATATTTCGAGATTTGTCTGGCAGGGCAAGAAGCCAAGAATAAAATTTAAGATTTTAACTGATGCTAAAGAAAGAGGGGGATTTGCCCTGCCAGACCTCAAACGTTATTATGAATCAGCCGCATTTTGCTGGCTGAAAGATTGGCTGCTTCTTGAAAACACGGACATTTTGGATTTAGAAGGTTTTGACAATGTCTTTGGATGGCATGCATATTTATGGTATGACAAGGTTAAAGCACATAAGGCCTTTAAGAACCATATTGTCAGGAAAGCATTGTTTAATGTCTGGGTGAGATACAAGGATTTGTTGGAAAGTAAAACACCAAGGTGGCTGTCACCAATGGAGGCTAAGGCTCTGAAAAAAACTAATATGGAGACAAATTGGCCAAAATATTGTGAAATTTTAGAACAAGATGGAGATAAACTAAAGCTGCAGAGTTTTGACAAATTAAAAACTAAAGTTCGAGACTGGCTTCATTACTATCAAATAAGGGAGGCTTATAATTTAGATAAAAAGATTGGTTTCCAGGAGGAAAAATCAAAATTGGAAACAGAACTGTTAGATCCTAAAACTAAGAATTTATCAAGAATGTATAACTTGCTGTTGAAATGGAATACACAGGATGAAACAGTTAAATCTGTTATGATTAAATGGGCACAAGATTTTGGACATAATATTATGTTTGCTGACTGGGAACAGTTATGGACCACAGGTATGAAATTTACGGCTTGTAATGCCTTAAGAGAAAATATAATGAAAATGATTTACAGGTGGTACTTAACCCCAGTCAAGCTAGCAAAAATCTATCATTTGCCAGATAGTAAATGTTGGAAATGTAAAGAGACGGAGGGTACATTTTTTCACCTTTGGTGGACATGCCCAAGGATTAAGGCTTTCTGGGAAATGATATATAATGAACTGAAAAAGGTATTTAAATATACCTTTCTGAAGAAACCAGAGGCCTTTCTTCTGGGCATGGTCGGCCAATTGGTGCGAAGGGAGGATAGAACTTTTTTTATGTATGCTACAACAGCAGCAAGAATACTCATCGGGAAGTACTGGAAGACACAAGAATTGCCTACCCGAGAAGAATGGCAGATGAAAGTGATGGACTATATGGAACTGGCTGAGATGACCGGCAGAATTCGAGACCAGGGAGAAGGGTCGATGGAAGAAGATTGGAAAAAATTCAAAATATATCTTCAAAAGTATTGCAATATAAAAGAATGTTAGAAGGAGGTTGGAAAAAGAATATTATGTCGTTCTGGTAGATATGATATAATGGAATAAGCAAAAATGAGTTGATGAAATTGATGAAATAGAGGAGGTTTAATTACATTATTTTAATTTTAAAATACGTAAATGAAAATAAGGTTAGAAGGATTTGCTGGAAACACGATCTGAACTAGAATACAAAATTGGGAGGTGAGAGGAGGTCATGGAAATAAGTAAAGGGAAAAGGTTATGTAAAGGTTTAATCTGCTTTTGTTTTATCTTAACTTAATGTATTTTTATATTTTGTGTTAAGTTTTCTTTTTATTCTATCTTATTGTGTTTTTTTACTTGTTTATCTTTTGCACTCTTATGTTCGAAGTTTTCTTTGTATTTTGTATGGTTTTCTTTTTCTTTTTTGTAACTTTAAATTTGGAATAAATATTATTAAAAAAACAAAAATAAAGTTTCTCTTACAATTGCTCTTAACTCTCCTGTAACTTTCTTCTGTAGGTCTTCTCCTTGGTCTCTCCAAAATTTGTCTTTGTCGTCTTCTGATCTTATTTTTATCTTCTTTCCTTTGTAACTAAAGGATAGGCCTTGAGGAAATTCCCACCTAAAGATAATTCCGTTACTTCTCAACAGGGTAACCAGGTCTTTGTAGTTAAACCTGAGGTCCAGAAGATGTTTCGGAATATCCTTAAATATCTCCACTTTTGACTGTTGTATTTCCAAAGTCTTCTGGAAATGCAAACTCAAAATCTTGTCTCTCTCTTCTTTTGTTCGGAAGGTGATCAAACAGTCTCTCACCCTGTTCTTTCTCCCTCCTTTTCCAAGTCTAAAAGCACTCACTATTTTAAAACTATCTTTCCCCAAATCTGGGTTCCAAAATCTAGGAATTCCTGCGTAAGAAATTCAACTAAATTATCTTTCTCCACTTCAGGTACAGCCCTGACCCTTAAGTTCACTTGTTTCTCCTTCAACTCGATCATAGACAGAATTGACTTATGGTCTTCAAGTTGTTTATGTAGCGGTGGTATCTTCTCTTGAACCACTGTAACAGTAGCTGTAGCAATTTCTTTAGCCTCTTCGGCAATCTTATGTGTCGAAGCAGATTCCTGTAATAGTTTCTGAATAGTTTCTGTATTAGTATTTACTTTCTGTCCCAGATTATTGACACTTGCCGTATTTTGGTTAATACTTGTCGTATTTTGATCAATCTTATCCGATGCCTCGGCTACTTGTTTACTTATTCTATCCAAAGATTCATTAATTTTAGCCAGTGCCTGAGCCAGGGCATCGTCACTTGCCATACCTTTAGTTTTAGGTTGTGCCGATGAGGCTCCTGTTGGTAATCCAGAAGGACCAGATGTCGAAGCCCTCCTTTGCAATCCACCGTCTGTGCGAAATACTCTGCCAGACCTTGTTGCTTGTAACAAGTCTATCTTCTCTTTCCCATCTGCCATAACCCTCTAGATAAAACTCAAGGTCAGTCACACAGTCAGAGTCAAAGTTGTTTTGGAATGGAAAGTTCCCAGGAAATTGTTGTGGGAGATTTCTCAGGCCAGCTGCAGTTGTAACTAGTTCCAAATTCCACTAGGGGGACACTGTAACAGTCATAAAGTTCTTAAAGTAATTTACTTCTCCCTTTAGTCCCCCAATTCACCAGAAAGATAACAATCTATCTTAGGCTGTTACTTTAAGACCAGGCGATACCTATCAGCAATATTGTAACCAAGTTGTATTTCAGATGCAGAGCTAGCTGTCAAAATACGTTCAAAGACAGTACATTCTCTTAGGCTTCTTACTGACACTGGGAACCCGTTCCAGGGGTTTTGAGCGGTGGTTTTTGTCTCCTCTTCCTCTCTTTTTCTTAGGGAAATAACGTTCAAGGCTTCCCCCCCTCCTCCCCCAAATTGAGGGGGGGAAATCACAGTTAGAAGATCGGATTGTAATCCTTTTGCGCGTCTTTTAAAGCTTCCGCTTTCAAGTTCAGTGCTTTGTTCTATTTACAAGAGCGGGAGGCAGACTTCCTTTTTATACCTCTCCGCTTCGGCCAATTACTTCCAATTTTTGTACAGTTCCTTTAATTACGAAGTTATCCTACTCACGGATCGTTGTTTTCGAAGCCAAATTGTCAAGGAAAAAAGGCAGCACTCTCCGGCAACAGCTACGCGGCTTCACTCCACAGAAGAAGCAGACGACTCCCAGCACAGCGCCACTTCCCCGCTCTGTTCCGGAGCCCATTGCCGGGTTCCTTTGCAGATTGGGGGGGCGCAGACAGTGCCCGCCGAGTCCCAGGGCCACAGGCTTCCCCCGCCTGTGATTTAAGGGGTCTCCGCTGCGCCGAAGCGGTATCAGACCCTATTTCTGTGGAGCGGGTTCCCTCCAGATCAGAGGGAATCCGCCATTACCGTTGGCGCCAGCTCCGGAAGTCAGGGCTTTCTCGGCTGCAGCTCCAATCTGGTGGAACGCTCTGTCACAAGAGACTAGGGCCCTGCAGGACCTGACATCTTTCCGCAGGGCTTGCAAGACAGAGCTGTTCCACCAGGCCTTTGGTCAGGGCGCAGCCTGACTCCCTCCTCTGGCAATCTGCACAGAATTTTGCTTAACGGTTGCCATTAATTTGATTTTAATTAATTTTTATAATGGAATGTTTTTAGAATGTGGGATTATTTGATTGTTGTTAGCTGCCCTGAGCCCGGCTTCGGCTGGGGAGGGCGGGATATAAATAAAATTTATTATTATTATTATTATTATTATTATTATTATTATTATTCTGCCCACACCTTTTGCTGTCATACAACCCCAGATCATCACACTATCTGGGTGTTTCACGGTCAGTGTAATGCAAGTAGGATGTAAATCTCCGATTCTCCTCCTCGCATATTTCATGCCATCACTACCAAGCAAGGAGATTGGGGTCTGATCACACCAAATAACACTGTCCCATTGTTCCGCTGTCTGGTTACCATGGGTTTTAGCCCAGTTTAATCTTTTCCACCTTGGCTTGAGATATAATGTAATGGATTTAGGGGTTGCTCGTGCGTAAGTTGCCGCCACTGCTGGCGAGGTTACCTGGTTAAACCCTTTCTGACTGAACAGCCTCCAGCATCCTGAACAGCCTCCAGCATCGTGACTGTCTCAGTCGCTGGCAGAATCCGTCAGTGGGCGTTTCTTGAACCTTTTCCAGCATAAAAGTTGTTTGACGCCAAGTCTCCTCCTACTCTCCCTGCGCGGAAGTCTTCTGCGCAGGGAGGGTGTGGGCAGCGGAGTACCCGTACTCTCTCCGCTGGTCTCCGGCGAGGAGTCTTGGAGCCTCCTCTCCGATTCCCCCATCTGCCCCCCTTCTCCACTGGTGTTACGCTGATTTCCTTCCCCAGCAGATGGGCTGCCTCTCTCCCTACTGGGACCCTCTCCGGCATCCCTCTGGAGCCTTCCCTCCGCCTCTAGCTCCGATGGCAGTTCCCTGACATATAACAATGGCTTTTTCCTTAGAATTCTAGCATTTAGACCAGTCCTTGCACTCAACTTCACCTTCCGTTGCCCCATGTCATCTTGTAAACACCCAGATGATTTTCTTCTGACATGTGGGCACAGACTCTTCATTCTTCGATCATCACTTCCTGTTGTGCACCTTTTCCTGCCTTTACCAGTCTGATTTTGTAGTGACTGAGTCTCCTTATGTTGTTCTTTAGTCGTTTAGTCCTGTCCGACTCTTTGTGACCCCATGGACCAGAGCACGCCAGGCACTCCTGTCTTCCACTGCCTCCCGCAGTTTGGTCAAACTCATGTTCATAGCTTCGAGAACACTATCCCACCACCTCGTCCTCTGTCGTCCCCTTCTCCTTGTGCCCTCCATCTTTCCCAACATCAGGGTCTTTTCCAGGGAGTCTTCTCTTCTCATGAGGTGGCCAAAGTATTGGAGCCTCAGCTTCAGGATCTGTCCTCCCAGTGAGCACTCAGGGCCGATTTCCTTCGGAATGGATAGGTTTGATCTTCTTGCAGTGTATGGGAGTCTCCTTATACTTCTTCACAAATATAGAAAGGCCAGCTTTGGTTAAGTTTTCCTCAATCTTTCTTCTTCTTTTTTCTTTTTAAAAAATGAATATTTATTGAATTTTATAACAAATAAAAATATATCAATCATCATGTTATATACAAATGTTCTCCCTCCCATCCTCTGGACTTCCCTCAACTCCCCCTCTACTGAGTTATTTGGTTTTATTTATTGCGTCCTGCTTTATATAAAAGTAAATTCCCTTACCATTTCTCTAATTTGTCTGTTACTATAATAAAGTTGTGAACATTTATTCAGACCCTGCCAGTTGTTGTTTCTGCAAATAACCTGTAAATGGTTCCCAAACTTTTAAAATCCTTTTTGTCCTTCTCTTGTAGTTTATCTGTTAGCTTAGCCAATTCTGCATAATTCATCAGTTTTTCTTACCAGTGTTCTTTTGATGGTATTTCTTCCATCTTCCAATTTTGTGCAGTCAAGATTCTTGCCGCTGTTGTTGTTGTTGTTGTTTAGTCGTTTAGTCGTGTCCGACTCTTTGTGACCCCATGGACCAAAGCACGCCAGGCACTCCTGTCTTCCACTGCCTCCCGCAGTTTGGTCAAACTCATGCTGGTAGCTTCGAGAACACTGTCCCACCATCTCGTCCTCTGTCGTCCCCTTCTCCTTGTGCCCTCCACCTTTCCCAACATCAGGGTCTTTTCCAGGGAGTCTTCTCTTCTCATGAGGTGGCCAAAGTCTTGGAGCCTCAGTTTCAGGATCTGTCCTTCCAGTGAGCACTCAGGGCTGATTTCCTTCAGAATAGAGAGGTTGGATCTTCTTGCAGTCCATGGCACTCTCAAGAGTCTCCTCCAGCACCAGAATTCAAAAGCATCCATTCTTCGGCGATCAGCCTTCTTGATGGTCCAGCTCGCACTTCCATACATCACTACTGGGAAAACCACAGCTTTAACTATACGGGCCTTTGTTGGCAAGGTGATGTCTCTGCTTTTTAAGATCCTGTCTAGGTTTGTCATTGCTCTTCTCCCAAGAAGCAGGCGTCTTTTAATTTTGTGACTGCTGTCACCATCTGCAGTGATCATGGAGCCCAAGAAAGTAAAATCTCTCACTGCCTCCATTTCTTCCCCTATTTGCCAGGAGGTGATGGGCCCAGTAGCCATGATCTTCGTTTTTTTGATGTTGAGCTTCAGACCATATTTTGCGCTCTCCTCTTTCACCCTCATTAAAAGAGTTGTTGTAGCATACATAAATAATGTATGCTATAAATAATGTCCCTTTTTCTTTTGGCAGCTCTTGATTTGAGATACCTAACAGAAAGGCTTCAGGATGTTTACCAAAGCTCATTTTAAACATTCTTTTCAGTTCATTATATATCATTTCCCAATATTTTTTAATGCATTTGCATTCCCACCACATATGATAAAATGTTCCTTTCTTTTCTTTACATCTCCAGCATCTCTTATTTTCTTTCTTAAACATCTTTGCCATTTTCACTGATGTGATATACCATCTATACATCATTTTCATGTAATTCTCTCTTAATAATATACAATCTGTAAATTTTATATCAACTTTCCACAATATAACATAACACACTGACAAAAGTCAAGCTAAGCAAGTTGTGCTTCCTTTTCTGGTTATTCCGCTATGACTTTTGATAGAATACAGATAATTACATTCTTCATTAAATTATCTTTCCATTGATACATAATTTTGTGGTATTACTCTAAACGAAGTCGTGTTACGAAGCATCAAACATCTGAAATATACTATTTTCCCAAAAGGCTTCCACAATTTTGGCCACTACTGTATATCAAACAAATCAACACTCAACAACCATCAGAATATATGAATAAAAATGTTGGTTAATGACAACCAACAAAGGCAATGAACAAAGACCCAACTCCCTTCAGTTCTTCTTGATTTGTTCCTGAGGTTCTAATCCCTTTTTTGTCTCCATTGCAGATTTTGATGAATTGGAAAACAAGAACAAGGATGAACATGACAAAACCCCTGGAGAGGAGAAGCCATGCAAAAATTTGGAATGTGGAGAGAGCTGCAGTCAGAACTCCCATTCCACTTCCCAACAAAGAATTCTCATTGGAAAGAAACCCTATCAGTGCATAGAATGTGGAAAGAGCTTCAGTCAGAACTCCAATCTCACTAAGCATCAGAAAATTCATACAGGGGCGAAACCCTATCAGTGCATGGAATGTGGAAAGACCTTCAGTCAGAGAGGCCATCTCACTTCCCATCAGAGAATTCATACAGGAGTGAAACCCTATCAGTGCGTGGAATGTGGAAAGAACTTCAGTCACAGCCACTGTCTCACTTCCCATCAAAGAATTCATACAGGAGAGAAACCCTATCAGTGTGTGGAATGTGGAAAGAGCTTTAGTATGAGCTACAATCTCACTAAGCACCAGAGAATTCATACAGGGGAGAAACCCTATCAGTGCGTGGAATGTGAAAAGAGCTTCAGTACGAGTTCCCATCTCACTTCCCATCAGAGAATTCATACAGGGGAGAAACCCTATCAGTGTGTGGAATGTGGAAAGAGCTTCAGGCAGAAAGCTCAGCTCATATCCCATCAAAGAATTCATACAGGGGAGAAACCCTATCAGTGCATGGAATGTGGAAAGAGCTTTAGTATGAGCTACAATCTCACTAAGCACCAGAGAATTCATACAGGGGAGAAACCCTATCAGTGCGTGGAATGTGAAAAGAGCTTCAGTACGAGTTCCCATCTCACTTCCCATCAGAGAATTCATACAGGGGAGAAACCCTATCAGTGTGTGGAATGTGGAAAGAGCTTCAGTACGAGTTCCCATCTCACTTCCCATCAGAGAATTCATACAGGGGAGAAACCCTATCAGTGTGTGGAATGTGGAAAGAGCTTCAGGCAGAAAGCTCAGCTCATATCCCATCAGAGAATTCATACAGGGGAGAAACCCTATCAGTGCGTGGAATGTGAAAAGAGCTTCAGTACGAGTTCCCATCTCACTTCCCATCAGAGAATTCATACAGGGGAGAAACCCTATCAGTGTGTGGAATGTGGAAAGAGTTTCATCCAGAGAGCACATCTGAATACCCATCAAAGAATTCATACAGGGGAGAAACAATATAAATGCTTTGAATGTGGAAAGAGCTTTAGTAAGAGCTGCACTCTCACTTCCCATCAAATAATTCATACAGGGGAGAAACCCTATCAGTGTGTGGAATGTGGAAAGAGCTTCAGTCAGAGCTCCAGTCTCACTTCCCATCAAAGAATTCATACAGGGGAGAAACCTTATCAGTGTGTGGAATGTGGAAAGAGCTTCAGTCACAGCTCCAATCTCACTAGGCATCAGAGAATTCATGCAACGGTTGGAAAAACCATTATCCAGCTTTAGGAGCCAGGCAAATCCGCACCTTGCTAACCAGGCCTTTGCCTGATTGACATCTAATGCCCTTTTAAAATGTGGTAGTGAGGGGGGTTACAGATGTATATTTTGTGTTTTTATGTTGTCTTTTTATATTGTAACCGTCCTGAGACATGTGGGAACAGGAGTCGACTTTTAGAGGCTGAGGGATTTTGCCCCAATGATATATTTGAGGGGGCCACCCCCCCCAGTTGGTAGGCATCGCCATTCCAATGCCCTTTATGCATCATGTGATTGATTGTGCAAGGCAGGCCTTACCTGGCCCCTTCCTCCAATATTTTATTCAAGTTGGCACCACAGAGTCAGGTGGTAGACAAATAATTACATAAATCACCTTCCTTTGCACATGTTTCAGCTTGTCAATATCCTTATTTATTATCATTTTTAATATTTATGTGCCCTTCATCTGAAGATTTCACAACAGAAACATACAGGATAAAAGCATGGCTTTCTCAAAAACAAGTCAAGCCAGAGAAATCTCTCCTCCCCTTTTTTTGGATGAAGTTACAAACTTTGTTGATCAGGGAGAGCTGTGGAAATAGTTCATCTTGATTTCAGTAAGGCTATTGACAAAGTGCCCCCATGAAATATTTACGTGGAAGCTGGTAATATGTGAGCTGAACGAAGAATCTGTTAGGTGGATTTGACTGACCGAACCCAAAGAGGACTCCTTCATGGTTCCTCCTCATCCTGGGGAAAAGTGACAAGAGGGGTGCTGCAGGGTTCAGTCCTGGGCCTGTTGTTGTTCAGCGTCTTTATGAATGAGTTGGATGAAGGAACTGAGAGGATGCTCATCACATTTGCGGACGACACCAAACGGGGAGCACAGGCCAATGTGGCAGAAGGCAGAATCAGATCAAGGGCAGGAATAGTACCACTTTCTTCTGCCTTGGTCAGGCCCCACCTAGAATACTGTGTTCAGTTCTGGGCATCACAATTTAAGTATCCAAAAGGTGGGGGAACACAATCCGTATTCCTTTTATAACATGTGGCCAATGTTTATTGAATACATAAATTGTGAAGACTGTTGCCGGAATCTACCCGGCACTCGTGGGAAAATGTGGTGTGATCTTTTAGAATAATCAATTGAAACTTTAACACATGGCAGGATGAAAGTCTGCAATTCCATGAGGACAAGGTATTTGTTGCTTACTGTTGTAACCATTGCTTTCTTTAAAATTCTCTTTTATACGATGAAATAAATAAAAGCACAGGTCTAATTTCATCTGGAGATGGTATCTCCCATTATTTTCACATAATCTAAGTGTTTATTCAGGTGAGGCTGATTGAAACACTAGAGAAAAATGTGGGAGTCATAAAGCCACGGCAGAGGCTTGTATTGCTGCATGGTGCCTGCTGATCTCAGTGACCAGCATGTCTGTGCCTTGTAATGTATTGAATGTATTGACCTTATATGGAGTTGTGTCCCCCCTCTGGGCAGTAATTACCTTATATGGCGATGGGTGTTGTAAAGCCATGATTGGGCATGTAACGTGAGACATTGGCAGACGGCCATGCAGGCTGAGAGAGAGACAAAGGATAATAAAAAGTTACCGGAGGGAGAGAGAAGTCGAAGGAGCTGCTCCTCCATCCTGAAAATATTGCTGTCTCACTGTGTCCCTTTTTCAAATGCTGTACAGCACCATTTGTGACGGCTGGCTTCCGTCAAGTGGTGCTCCGTGCGAGGCTAACTAAAAGAAATCCGTGTGAGGCTGACTAAAAGAATACGTCTGAGGCTGACTAAAAGAAATCCGTGTGAGGCAAACTAAAAGAAAACTGAGTGAGGATGACTTAAAGGAAACCATGTGAGGTTTTTCGATCCACGCAACGGATATCATCGACTCTCCACGCCTGGCAAGGGTTACAAGCGCTACGCATCTATAGGATCCCGGTGAGTCAATCCCTTTTATCTTGAATTTGGAAAAATGGGCAGCTCTTTGTCTATTCCCCAACAGAAATTTTTAAAAGACTTAAAATTTCTCCTCTCCTCCAACAAATTGGAAGTTCCGGAGGGTGATTTGATACAGCTTATTCTGGCCATCGATGAGCATTGCCCCTGGTATCCCCAAGATGGAACTTGGGAGTTAAAACATTGGGACAAAATTGGAGCACATTTCCACGGACACCCTAGCATTGGCGTTCGCGTTCTGAATGCATGGTGCAAGGTTCGTTACGCCATGGGCTCTTTATCACCAAAAAATATCTCCATGGCTGTATTGCCAACATCACCTCCGGCTTCTTTAGTCCAGCCTGCTGTGTTACCGTCTGTTCCAATACTTGCCTTGCCAGCACCACCAGACCCCAAGCTTCCGGACTATAGTTCCTTGCCAGAGGATCCAATCCTGCAAAAATACCATGGTCTGGTTGGCAAAGATCCTACTCCCTCACCAACAGAACCAGCTACCCCTTTTCAACATGCAGTCCTTGCCTGTTCCTTAATTCAGGATACTGTGGCATTTCCCGTTATAGTGCCGCCTGCTGGTGCTCCAGCAGGAACTCAAGCCCAACACCAACCTTTTGACTTTAAGATCTTGAAAGAGTTGCAGCAGTCAGTAAAGACCAATGGACTCCAAGCCCCATATACGCAGACGCTTTTGGAAGCCACATTAGCCCAGCTCTTGGTTCCAGATGACATAAAGCTTTTGGCCCATACAGTGTTACCTCCATCAGCGGGCGTATTGTTTGCCCACGAATAGGAAACTGCCAGCCGTGCATATGCTCCGGCTTTATTACAACAAATCAGAACCCAGTATTCAATCAAGGTGGGGTTCAATCAGGCAAGAGGCAAGAGAATCATATTCTTCCTTTATGGACAGGCTGATTACAGCAGTGAGTCGCCAAATAGAAAATCCTGAAGCCAAACAAATAATTATCAAACAATTGGCCTTTGAAAATGCCAATGAGGATTGTAAGGTTGCATTACGACCGATAATACACAATCCTACACAGCAGCCATGCTTCACATTTGTCAATCTGTGGGTACAGCCTCCCACAAGGCTCATCTGCTGGCAGCGGCGCTAAATAAAAACCAGCCTGTAGCCACCGATAAAACATGTTTCCAGTGTGGCAAACCAGGACACTTTAAGGCGCAATGTAGATCCACGCAACAGCCTAGGCGTCCTACCAAATGTCCAATCTGCAAAAAAGGCTTTCATTGGGCCAATCAATGCAGATCGCTTCCCCAAAACCAACAGCAGGGTCAGTACACTGCCCGAAATCAGCAAGGACAACAGCAGGGAAACTGGCAGCCGGGCCCACCTTGGGCCCAGACAAATCAATAGGGGACCTCCCGGAGTCCAGGGAAACAGCACCACAGCTTCGCCTGACTCAGGACGTGGAATTCCATTTGCCTTTCTGCCCTTTAAAGACTCATGTCCTCACTAAAGCAGGGTTGGACAATCATGCCACTTGTTTGGTATTGCCTCTATTATCTGCACAAGCAGCAGGAATTCATGCGGTACCGATGCTAACACACGGACCATATGTGAATTTCCTGAGATCACGCTATATGCGGATCGTCCATGCAGAATACAGTCAAATACTTCAGTGGCGAAGATTATCATTTTCCCCCCATCCGAACAACTACCCCTAATTGCAGCAGCCATGAACATTACAGCTTCGCACCCTTCTGTGTCTCTGACAGTGGGAGGTTGACTCATTGAGGAGTTCTGGACACAGGGGCGGATGTAACAGTCGTGGCAAAATCTGCTTGGCCATCCAGTTGGCCCACCTGTCCAGCCACACAAGTTATTGGTGTGGGAGGTGAATCACAGGCACGGCGCAGTCTCCACCCAATACTCATCCAAATCGATAGCGGGGTTCAGATCACCCTCTATCCATTAATAATGGGCATTCCAGTCTCCTTATGGGGGCGCGATATTTTGGCTATTGCAGACACCAAATTGGAGTCAAATTTATTCTAAGGGCTGCCCCTGCACTTCCACGCACGGCACTGCCGTTACGATGGACCACCACTACCCCAGTATGGGTAGAACAGTGGCCCCTACCAAAAGAAAAATTAGCAGCGGCGGCCCAGCTTATTTCTGAACAATTGACCCTTGGCCACATTGAACCGTCCTCATCTCCCTGGAACTCCCCAATTTTCATTATAAAAAAAAAATCAGGAAAATGGCGTCTTCTGCAGGATATGAGAAAAATTAATCAACAAATACAGCCAATGGGAACTTTACAACCTGGCATGCCAAATCCAAATATGCTCCTGCGAGAATATCAGAAAAATCCTTCTTGACTGCGTCTGCATTGTTTCAAATATAAGTTCACTTACCCATGTTACGGAAATGACGGGGGGGGGCATCTTTATAGTTATTGCAATGTTACAAATATTAGCCCTGAATGTATGCTTTTGACTTGACAGCGCAGGGAAGATACCTAGCTTTATAAATTCCTAGAAAATCCATACTTTAACCGGCTCTCCTCATTCCAATGCCATTTTAACCCTGCAAGAAAGGTGAATTTGGGCTCCACCTCCCTCCATGAACCAAGAAGCAGGAAGTCACGTAGGCAGTACGAAGAGGGCATCTTTCCCCAAGCTTGAGAGCACATACATGGCCCCCCACCCAGGGAGTGACGGGGGGGCAACAATAGACATCCACAGAGGCAATTTAGCAAGTCAGGTGTTCTGAAAGCCCAACTCCGGACAAGTCCTGAGGGCAAGGAGATGCCAAGGGTTTCATTGTTCTTTGGGTGATGGGGACTTAAGAGGTGTTGTGAGCGGTGTCTGGCCCCTGCTGAACTTGTGTATATCTTATATCCCCTCCTTTGTGATGTAGTGTGGGCCTATTCATGATGCCCTGTGAAATGTACTCTGGGTAAAAGTCAAGGTAACCCTTTGTTCTGGGTTCTTGCTCCTGTGGGGACCTGTTGGGCAACAAGAAAGATCAAGGTCTACTGACCGCTGTTTTGCTCCAAACTACTTGGCTGGAACTTCCCGACTGGCTGGGCTGATGAGTCATCTCTCAACCCAGAATAATAATAATAATAATAATAATAATAATAATAATAATAATTTATTATTTATACCCCGCCCATCTGGCTGGGTTTCCCCAGCCACTCTGGGTGGCTTCCAACTGAATATTAAAAACAGTACAGCATCAAATTTTCCATAACACCCATAAAAGTGTATCATATTTATTGCTGAGAAATCGTACCATACTCAGCTTGCGGATCTCAACCCCAAGAAACCCTACACAGAGTAGCTGCCTTTCCCCCAATTTCTTAGCTAGCAATAATGGATATTGAGAAGGAAGAAGAGAGAGAGAGGTAGGCATCCTTTCG